CTGTGTCTCTCACACACACAAGGTTCCTGTCCAGTAAAAGTTGTACCCTTTCAAAGTGCCTTGAACCCCATGTTAACTCAGATGCTACAATTCCCTTAGACAAACGTGGGACCGAGCAATCAATCACAGTGAGGGGAGTGGGGGTAGGGGTTGGACACTCAAATGGGGGCTTCTTTGGCTGGAATTATTGCGTCTCGCACAAGCAGCTCACTCAACCCAGCGCGGCTACCAGATTTAATCATTAACCAAAGAAGGACAAGAGATTGGAAGAACGTTTGTTTTTGAATCACAAGCTTATTGCAAGTGAAAGCAACACCCCCCCCCACACACCACCCCGCCCATCGTCCCACCCCACCATATTCATAAACAACTGGCAGAGAACGCAAAGCCCTGCCAGCCCGCACAAACAATATGGAACATGTGGGACTATTGCCCAGTTGGCTGCCCAGTTGGCATCGCCTGTCGGTGCCAGCTGAACAAAATAATTCTGCACCAGTTCACGTAGCTTTGGCCCTAAGCACAGGGACAGTCAACTACAGCAACAACAACAACTTACAGTTATATCGCGACTTCCACGCAGGGTAGCGGCTGAGAGCATTTGAATTAATAATAATAATCCTTGCATTTGATACAGCGCCTTATCACGTCGTTGAGACGTCTCAAAGCGCTTCACAGAATATACTGTGCAGTGGAGTGACTGCATAGCCTACGAGCTTGAGACTTCTCCAGAAAAGAGAAACCATCTCTGGAGAAATTATAAGTGGTCGAGGAGCCAAAAGAGATGTTTTTAGGTTTCTGAAGAGAGAGAGCGTGTGAAGGCAAGTCATATTGGGGACAGCTGCAGCAGGCAGTGTAGGGGCTGGAGGCTTGGCAGGATGGAGGGTATGGAGGAACAAGCAATAGACTGTTTGTGGGACGCTGCTGTGCACAATTGGCTGCCGCGTTTCACCCACAAAATATACAGTCAACCCACTTTACAGTATATTCTGTGTGGCGCTTTGAGACGCCTCAACGACGTGCTAAGGTGTATCAAACGCCACGGTTGTTATTATTCTACAGGAATCAGAGGAGGTCTACGGAGTTCTGGATTAGTTGGAGCTTGCGGGAGGAAAGAGATGGGAGGCCAGTGAGGAGAGTGTTGGAGAAATACGACCTTGGGAGTGACAAATCTAACGGTGAGGATCCAAAACAGCAGAGGGGAGAGAAGTGAGGGCCAGGGGATGCATTGTTCAGTTTGGTTGGGAGTCACCTGGGATTTTGATGTCTGTCGGGCTGAGGCAGTAAGTCAGTCAGACCAGCAGTGGTCTCCGAATCAAAGATGGAGACAGAGAGGTAGAGCTGGTTTGTGAAATATGTGTGGAAATTGACACTGTAGCCAGACAGAAGTTTCTAGAGTAGACACAAGAGCGCCGAGGGCAGAACTCTGGGCAGACGCAGCAGGTCACCATGCAGGGACAGGTAGAGAAGCCATTATAGTGAGCCCTGAAACTCTTCCTCTATCCCTCCGCCTTGCCCCCTTTCCTACCCCGTTTTCAGGTAGCGCCTGAAGACCTTCCTATTCGACCGTGCCTACGGTCACCTTCTCCTCCCACCGCCTCGGAGCTGTGCTCCGCCACTGTCAAGCGCTCTGGGACGCTACCCTCGTGAGGTGATTGTAAGATTGCTTTGGACGAAGTCGGCCCGTCATTTTTACCTGATCTTCTACTTCCCAAACATTTACCCTCCCCTCCTCTCCTCCCATCACAGCATCAAGTTTTATTTTAAAAATAAGTCCAGTGTCCTGGCCTTCAACCACTCACTACTCCTTCCTGGCAACCTCTTCCAGTCATTAATTCCTCTCCGGGTAAAGAAATACTTCCTGTCCCGAAATTGCTCTTTGCAACTCTAAACCTACGTCCTACTGTTATGGAACATCTTAAAATATCGTTCTGGGTTTAGTTTTTCAGTCCCTTTGAATATTTTATACACTTCTCTAATCTTTGCTTAATATTGGCGATAATTTCTGTTGGTCTCCTCTGTTGTGTTGTGTTGTCCTATAGCGTATTGGCAAGAACAACAACAACAAGATTGCATTTATAGAGCGCCTTTCACGTCGGGAGGACGCCCCAAGGCGCTGCACAGTTGGGTCAGGACCCGAGCCCTTGGGGGGAAATGGTCAGGGTCAGAACACTCGTCTCGCAAGCGAAAGGACCTGGGTTCGATTCCCGGTCAGGGCGAATCTTTGGGCAAGTTTCCTTACTCCACACACACACACACACACACACACGCCTCTGTTGACCGAGCAGTAAGTAGAAACCCGGTTATTAGTCGATTGGTGGATCGCTTTTCCAGGGGGGAATAATCCCTTCAAAAATAACCGAAAATAAAAAAATGCGTTCACTCAATCCACGACTGTTTGTGGGACACTGCTGTGATCAATTGGCTCAGCGTTTCAGCCACAAATTATACAGAAAATTTACTTCACAGTATATTCTGTGAAGAGCTTTGAGAAGTCTCGAAGACGAATAAGGCGTTCTATCAAATGAAAGGATTATTATTACTAATGTGTTGCGGTGACCAGAACTGTATACAGTACAATACAACTCGATTATGACTTCTGGGGATTTGGAAAGCAATATGATTTAGCAATACATCCCGGCATCCTGTTTGCCTTGTTATTTGTTGCCTCACGCTCTTCTGATGACAGTCAGTCAACTAACACCTCAAAATCTCTTCCTTATTGGCAAATTCTGTCCCATCTCTGGAGTATTTGTTTCCTATTCTTTCTTCCTATATGCAGCACCTCACATTTATCTAGCGCTCTGGGACACTACCCCGCACGAGGGGCACTATGTAAATGCATGTTGTTGTTGTTGTTGTTGTGTCTATATTAAACTTCATTTGCCATTTATCAGCCCATGTCCATAACCCTATCGAACTCTCTTTGCGAGACGTTTGCTGCCTCCTCTGATTCCACAGTTTCACCCCAAAATTGGTATCATCTGTAACTGTAACTATCTTACACACTGGTCTGTGAACCGACAACAACAACAACTTGCCCCTTATGCAGCGCCCTTCACACGGGGCAGCGTCTCGGAGCGCTTAAAGGACGTTAATATATGACGTGAAGGAGGAGAGAAGAGTCTTAATGGTTTGTGGAGAGATCGAGGAGGCAAAGGGACACAGACAGACTTTGACCAGGGTGGTCTGTGCTGTCCCGAGGACACGTCCGAAGCCTAAGAAGGTGGACGAGGCTGTGGTGAGCGAGTGGACGGCTTTGACATTGGGGAAAAAATCCATACCTTTGTCACATTGTAAGGACGAGAGGAACGAGGGAGAGAAAGGGAAGGCGGAGGCGGAGAAGAGGAGATTGGGATTTTCCTGGCTCTCAAGTCACTTTACATAGTGTATTCTGTGGAGCGCTTTGAGACGTCTGGAAGACGCGATAAGGCGCTATATCAACTGCTGGGCTTCCTTCTAATCAGGGGGTGAGTACTACACACAGAGCGAGCGAGAGATCAATCACAGGGAGTGAGTGCCAAACAGAGAGAGAAAAAGAAACCAGAAGGAAAAAGGTAAAGGCAAAAAAAAAGGGGTGAGTTTCACAGAGAGGGAACAGAGGGAGAGAGGGAGAGAGAGATAGAGAGAGAGAGAAAGAGGGAACTAGAGGCAGAATCAGAGGTGAGTTCCACAGAGAGGGAAAGAGAGAGAGAGGAACAGGAGACAGAGAGAGAGAGAGAGAGAGAGAGAAAGAGAGAGAGGATCAAGAGAGAAAGAGAAGGTATAAGGCAGAACTGGAGGTAGATTCTGGAGTGGGTTTTTTAGAGAGAGGGAAAGAGAGAGGAACAGGAGAAAGAGGAGAGAAAGAGAGAAGGAACTGGAGACAGATTCAGGAGAGAGAGAGAGAGAGAGAGAGGAACAGGAGGGAGAGAGAGACACAGAAATAGGAGTGAGTGAGTGAAGTGGAGACAGAGGACAGAAAGTTTAGATCCCTCTCTCTCTCTCTCTTTCTCTCTCACTCACTCACCCTCCGACCCAGTCTCTCCCAAACTGACATGAAATCGTTATTTAACGTTGTGCCCCTCTCCCTCTCCCCCATTTCCCCCTCTCCCTATCCCCCATTTCCCCCTCTCCCCCATGTCTCTCTCTCCCCCATCTCCCTATCCCCCATTTCCCCCTCTCCCCCACACCCCCACACCCTCTCCCCCTCTTCCCCTCTCCCCCACACCCCCTCTCCCCCACACCTCCTCTCCCCCTCTCCCCCACACCTCCTCTCCCCCACTCACCCCTTTCCCCCACTCCCCCTCTCCCCCACACCCTCTCCCCTACTCTCCCTCTCCCACACCCCTCTCCCCTCTCCCCACACCCTCTCCCCACACCCTCTCCCCTACTCCCCCTCTCCCCCCTCTCCCCTCTCCCCCTCTCCCCCACCCCCTCTCCCCTACTCCCCCTCTGCCCCACCCCTCTCCCCTACTCCCCTCTCCCCCTCTCCCCTCTCCCCCACTCCCCCTCTCCCGCACTCCCCCTCTCCCCCTCTCCCCCTCTCCCCCTCTCCCCCTCCCCTCTCCCCCCTCTCCCCCCTCCCCCTCCCCTCTCCCCCCTCCCCTCTCCCCCTCTCCCCCTCTCCCCCCTCCCCCCCTCTCCCCCTTCCCCCCTCTCCCCTCCTCCCCCTCTCCCCCTCTCCCCCACTCCCCTCTCCCCCTCTCCCCCTTCCCCCTCTCCCCCTCTCCCCCTTCCCCCCCTCTCCCCCACTCCCCCTTCCCCCTCTCCCCTCTCCCCCCTCTCCCCCTCTCCCCCCTCTCCCCCTTCCCCCTCTCCCCCTTCCCCCCTCTCCCCCTCTCCCCCTCTCCCCCCTTCTCCCCTCTCCCCTCTCCCCCTCTCCCCCTTCCCCCCTCTCCCCCTCTCCCCACTCCCCCTCTCCCCTCTCCCCCCTCTCCCCCTCTCCCCCCCCACTCTCCCCCTTTCCCCCTCTCCCCCTCTCCCCCTCTCCCCCCTCTCCCCCTCTCCCCTGTGGCACTAACCTTCCTTCCCCAGAGAGGCTGAGAGGCAGCTCAGCGCAGTGAGGAGCAGTCCCGGGGCTGAGATTCCCATCGTCTCCGCTTCTTCCCGAACTTTTTCTCTTCCCCCTTCTTCCTCCTTTCTCTTCTCTCTCCTTCTCCCTCTCCAGAGTCGCTGCTGCGGCTCCGCAGCCACTTCCTGCTCCGAGATCCCGACTGTGGTCCGCAACAAAGGCATAGCGCCGCTCTCAGGGCACAGGGCAATATAGCCCAGACTGGGCACAGGGCAATATAGCCCAGACTGGGCACAGGGCAATATAGCCCAGACTGGGCACAGGGCAATATAGCCCAGACTGGGCACAGGGCAATATAGCCCAGACTGGGCACAGGGCAATACAGCCCAGACTGGGCACAGGGCAATACAGCCCAGACTGGGCACAGGGCAATACAGCCCAGACTGGGCACAGGGCAATACAGCCCAGACTGGGCACAGGGCAATACAGCCCAGACTGGGCACAGGGCAATATAGCCCAGACTGGGCACAGGGCAATATAGCCCAGACTGGGCACAGGGCAATACAGCCCAGACTGGGCACAGGGCAATATAGCCCAGACTGGGCACAGGGCAATACAGCCCAGACTGGGCACAGGGCAATATACCCAGACTGGGCACAGGGCAATACAGCCCAGACTGGGCACAGGGCAATATACCCAGACTGGGCACAGGGCAATACAGCCCAGACTGGGCACAGGGCAATACAGCCCAGACTGGGCACAGGGCAATATAGCCCAGACTGGGCACCGGGCAATATAGCCCAGACTGGGCACCGGGCAATACAGCCCAGACTGGGCACAGGGCAATACAGCCCAGACTGGGCACAGGGCAATATAGCCCAGACTGGGCACAGGGCAATATAGCCCAGACTGGGCACAGGGCAATATAGCCCAGGCTGGGCACAGCGCAATATAGCCCAGACTGGGCACAGGGCAATATAGCCCAGACTGGGCACAGGGCAATATAGCCCAGACTGGCACAAGGCAATATAGCCCAGACTGGGGACAAGGCAATATAGCCCAGACTGGGGACAAGGCAATATAGCCCAGACTGGGCACAAGGCAATATAGCTCAGACTGGGCACAAGGCAATATAGCTCAGACTGGGCACAAGGCAATATAGCCCAGACTGGGGACAGGGCAATATAGTCCAGACTGGGGACAAGGCAATATAGGGCTAGACTGGGACAAGGCAATATAGCACTACAACAACAACAACAACAACAAGATTCCATTTATAGAGCGCCTTTCACGTCAGGAGGACGTCCCAAGGCGCTGCACAGTTGGGTCATGACCCGAGCAGGGGGAAATGGTCAGGGTGAGGGAGGGGAGGGAGCGAGGAGGGGGGAAATGGTCAGGGTGAGGGGAGGGAAGGGAGGGAGCGAGGAGGGGGAAGAGAGTCGAGAGGGGAGCTGAAGGCTCGGTCAAAGAGAAAGGTTTTGAGACCAGCCTTGAAGGAGGAGAGGGAGGAAGCGGCGAAGGCACTGGGGGATGGAGTTCCAGAGCCTCGGGGCTGAGAGGCTGAAGGCCCGACCACCGATGGTAGGGCGATTGGGGCGGGGGACGTGGAGCAGACCGGAGCCAGAGGAACGGAGGGTACGGGCAGGTAAGTAGGGGGATAGTAGGTCGGAGAGGTAGGAGGGAGCAAGGCCGTGAATGGCCTTGTAGGTGAGGATGAGGATCTTGAAATCAATCCTCTGGGGGATGGGGAGCCAGTGGAGGCGAGCGAGGGTGGGAGTGATGTGGTCCCGAAGCCTGGTGCGGGACAGTACACGAGCTGCAGAGTTCTGAATGACCTGCAGTGTGGAGGCAGGTGGAAGGCCGGCGAGGAGAGAGTTCCCATAGTCCAGCCTTGAGGTGACGAAGGCGTGGACCAGGGTTTCAGCAGCGTGAGGGGTGAGGTAGTGCCGTAGTCTGGCGATGTTCCGGAGGTGATGGAAGGCGGTGCCAGTTGTGGTGCGGATGTGAGGGAGAAAGGACAGCTCAGGGTCGAACAAAACGCCGAGGTTCCTGACTGGCTTTGAGAGGTGGAGAGTCCAGCCAAGACTGGGACAAGGCAATATAGCACTAGACTGGGGAAAAGGCAATATAGCGCTAGACTGGGGACAAGGCAATAGATTGGGGACAAGGCTATGGACTGGGGACAAGGCAATAGATGATACATATGATTTTTTTTATATTTAATGATAATAATCTAATTGTCTTTGCATTGATACAACGTCGTATCGCATCTTCGAGACGTCTCAAAGCGCATTGCCGAATATACTGCAAAGTGAATTCACTGTAGATTTTGTGGGTGAAATGTATTTGATATACATATAAAATACTCTGCAAAATATACAATCTCTCCACTTTACAGTACTGTATATATTTATGCAGTATATGTATTACGTGGGTCAGTCTAGCCTGGGTCAGTTGGCAGCACTCTTGCCTCTGCAGTTAGAAGGTTATGGGTTCAAGCCCCACTTTTGAACTCACAGTCCATTGTGGGAGGTGCTGTCCTTCAGATGAAAGATAAACCAAAGTCCTATCTACCTGTTGGATTAAAGAAGCCATAAAACTGTTCGAAAAGAGAAGGGATTTTCTTCTGGTGCCCCGGCCAGCAATCCCCCAAATAAAACTGGTCATTCACTTCATGATTACTCACGGTGCATTGCTGTCTGCAAATCTGACTGCCGCATTCGCCTATAACAATAATAATAATAATAATCCTTGCATTTGATATGGTGCCTTATCACATCTTCGAGACGTCTCAAAGCCTACAAACTATACAGTCATTACATCATATGAAACACTGTGTGACCCTCCCAACATGAAAGATCTTTATCAAATGGAAGGATTATTATTAGAGATGAACAGTGGGAAATTTTCAAACATCAGATGAATGAGGTACAGATCATGCACATTCCCACAGTAATAAATGGGAAATAATAATAAAGTTATAAAGTCATAAAAACTAAGGCTCTTTGGATGAGTGTAGTACTTAACATGAAAATACCAGCGGCATGAATTAAATCTGAAGGTACTACAACAGAAAATTAGAGGGTGTCGAAAATGTAGACGTGTAATAATAATAACCCTTGCATTTGGTGTCGAGTCTTGTCAGATCATTGAGATGTCTCAAAGCGCTTCACAGAATATATTGTAAAGTGGAGGGAATGTGTACTTTGTGGGTCAATAAGTGATTGCAGGCCAAGGGAAGTTATAAAAATAATAATAATAATAATCCTTGCATTTGATAGAGCGCTTTTCACGTCTTCTCGACGTCTCAAAGCGCTTCACAGAATATACTGTAAAGTGAAGTGACTGTACATTTGTGGCGAAACGCGGCAGCCAATTGCGCACAGCAGCGTCCCCACAAACACTCCTGGAATTGAAATGACCAATTTATTATTTTTTTTCTTGAGGGATTATTATCCTCCACCGGAAAGGCTGGTAGATAACGAGGAAAAAAGTCTCAAAGGGTTTTATGAACTTATAAAACCTAAAAAAAAAATCAGTCAAAGAAAGTTTAAAGAGAGCCAATTAGAGGCGGAAGAAACAGGATAAAGTCATGGAAAATGAATGGACTGGCAGGGATACGTAATTTTTTTACAGAGGGACAAACTGAGTGGACGAGAGGATGTGCAGCAATTAGAAGGGATATCTATAGAAAAGGAAGTGGTACTAAAACTGCTGATGGAATTCGAAGTGGAAAAGTCACCGGGGCCCGATGGTATGTATCCAAGAATGCTGAGGGAAGCCGTGGAGGAAATAGTAGATGCTCTGATTATAATTGTTCGGACATGTTTACTAATATTCTGATCAAAAAAGAAAATACGATAAGCCACGTAACTGTGGAACAATCACACACAAAGACGATAATACAGGATAATATTGATAATCTCTTAATATTATCATTATCATTATTATAATGTTGGAACATTTTTCATTGGAACGAGGAAGGTTGAAGGCAGACCCGATTTTTGTGTTCTAAAAGTGAAGAGGTTTTTTTTGAACAACAGTCAACGCAGATTTGCCAAAAGCAAATACTTGACAAATCTAATAGACTTTCACACGATAGGCTCAGTGGTTAGAGCACTCGCTTTGCGAGCGGGAGACCTGAGTTCAATCCCAGGCAGAGGGCGAAACCTCGGGCAAGTTTCCTTACTCCACACAGAGCCTAATAATAATCCCTCCAAAACCAAAAACAATAATAAATTGGTCATTTTCAATCTACGACTGTTTGTGGGACATTGCTGTGCGCAATTGGCTGCCGCGTTCGCCCACAAATATACAGTGAATATTCGCCCACAATATTCGCCCACAATATTCGCCCACAAATATACAGCAATTCACTTTACAGTGTGTTCTGTGAAGCGCTTTGGGACGTCCTCCCGACGTGAAAAGCGCTATATCAAATGCGAGGATTATTATTATTATTATTAACAGGTTTTGAAGACATGATAAGGTGCTGTATCAGATGCAAGGATTATTATTATTATTATTATTATTATTATTATAATGTTGGAACATTTTCATTGGAACGAGGAAGGTTGAAGGCAGACCTGATTTTTTGTGTTTTAAAAACGAAGAAGTTTTTTTTTCGCACAGACTGTATACACAGCAGGGTGGCCGATTTACGTTAGGGCTTTTGGAACTGCGTAAGAAAATGTCTTCAAAGGGAAACAAAAATGTTGTGTGAGTTTAAATTAAACATTTTTAAAAACTAGGCATCCGCCCAAAGCCGTTTTCTCACGCACAGTACAGCAAAAACACGCCCCGACTGGGCAGGAACCTGTCCATTCTGGCAAAGTCAACCCGACACAGTGCGCTGGGGTGGGGAGACGGGAAAGGAGCTCTCTTCTCTTTCGTGAGGCCAGAGAGTGGGAGTTTTTTTGTGAGACACAAGAAGAGAGTCCTGTAGCTCAGTGGTTAGAGCACTCGCTTTGCGAGCGAGAGACCTGAGTTCAATTCCAGGCAGAGGGCGAAACCTTGGGCAAGTTTCCTTACTCCACACAGAGCCTAATAATAATCCCTCGAAAGCCAAAGACAATAATAAATTGGTCATTTTCAATCTACGACTGTTTGTGGGACATTGCTGTGCGCCATTGGCTGCCGCGTTCGCCCACAAATATGCAGTCAATTCACTTTACGGTGTGTTCTGTGAAGCGCTTTGGGACGTCCTCCCGACGTGAAAAGCACTATATCAAATGCAAGGATTATTATTATTATTATTATCCCCCAAGGATTTGTCTAGAAAATAACAGTCGATTCACTTTGACGTGTATAACTGTCAAGTGCTTCGAGACATCTCAATGACGAGAAACGGCTCTGTATCAAATGCAATTGTTTATTATTATTATTATTATTAATAATAATAATTATTATTATTACAATAATAGGAGAGGGTGACCACACGTCCCCGGGTGACCAGGGGCCAAATTTGCCTTTGGGTTGAGTTCAGCAACAACAGCAACAACAACAAGTCACACCCGGAGAGCGACTTTCACGTCGGGAGGACGTTCCCCCCCCATCCCCGTCCCTCACAGCCCCACACCCCCACCTCCCGACCCCCCCACCCGGCTCCCCCCCGCCCCCCCCCCCCCCTCCCCCGGCCGAGGCGACCGGACGGCAAACTTTGTGAGCGAGAACAATAACCTTCCAAAAAAAAATACAGTGGCGAACTCATCAATCGCTGTACAATTGCAATTGGTTATTGATTGATTGATTGATTGATTGATTGATTGATTGATTGATTGATTGATTGATTGATTGATTGATTGATTGATTGATTGATTGATTGATTGATTGGTTGATTGATTGATTGATTGATTGATTGATTGATTGATTGATTGATTGATTGATTGATTGATTGATTGATTGATTGATTGATTGATTGATTGATTGATTGATTGATTGATTGATTGATTGATTGATTGATTGATTGATTGATTGATTGATTGATTGATTGATTGAGGCAAAGCAAGACTCAAAGTCCCTCCCCCCCAGCCCCACCCCTCCCCCCAGCCCGGTCCCTCCCCCCAACCCGGCCCCTCCCCCATCTCCTCCCCCTGCGCCCCAGCCCCTCCCCCAGCTCCAGCCCCTCCCCTGCCCCCCAGCCCCTCCCCCTGCCCCCAGCCCCTCCCCTGTTGGCTGGTTGGCTGCTCGGGGGCGGAACCTTTGTCCGCAGAGAGCGCGGGTGGGGGGGAAGGTGTCGGTGTAACACAGGAAGAGACTGCGGCTGAATGTGATCTCAGGGCCGCGCTCTCTCTCTGTCTCTGGGCCGCGGGTGATGGCGGAGCCGAGGCCGAGGCCGAGGCGGGGGCTGTGTTGGCTCGGGCTCGCCCTGACCCTCGGGGCCTCCTGCCCGGGGATGGCCGGGGCCTCGCAGGGAGACCGGGAGCCTTATTACCGAGACTGTGTGAGCGGTTGTGTCAGCGCCAACTGTACCGGACCCCGACTCCGGGCCTTTCACACCCGACAGCCCGTCTACATGCGGCTCACAGGTGCCCGGGGGGGGCTGTGGGGGGGGGCTGTGGGGGTGGGGGGGGCTGTGGGGCTGTGTGTGGGTGGGGGGGGCTGTGTCTGTGGGGGGGGGCTGTGGGTGTGGGGGGGGGCTGTGTGTGGGTGGGGGGGGGGCTGTGGGGGGGGGCTGTGTGTGGGGGGCGCTGTGTGTGGGGGGGCTGTGTCTGTGGGGGGGGGCTGTGTGTGTGGGGGTGGGTGTGTGTGGTGGGGGGCTGTATGTGGGGGGGGGCTGTGTCTGTGGGGGGGGGCTGTGTGTGTGGGGGGGCGGCTGTGGGGGGGGGGCTGTGTGTGTCTCACTGGGGTGGGTGGGGGCTGGGGGGTGATTTCCCGGTCAGAGATGACGGGGGGGGAGGGGGGTTTGGAGGGTAAACGAGAGCGGTTTGTGTTAATCCCTCTCTCTCTGTGCGGGCCGGGCCGGGCCGGGCCGGGACAGGCGGCTGACGGTGTCTCTCTCGCTGTGTCAGGCTGGACCTGTGAGGATGACTGTCGATACGACTGTATGTGGGCCACAGTGGGACTGTACATCACAGAAGGATACAGAGTGCCTCAGTTTCACGGAAAGGTCACTGTTTTCGGGGGGAAAATTGTGTGTGTGTGTGTGTGTGTGTGGGGTGACAACAACAACAACAACAACTTGCACTTCCATAGCGCCCTCCACGCAGCGTAGCGTCTCCGAGCGCCTCATGGTGTCGGAGGCTGACTCTGTGGGCGCAGGTTGGTTGTCGTGTTTACCTGCGCACAACGTTCTCGATTAAATGCAACTCTCGTTATTTATTGCCCTCCTTCCCGTGATCTCTATCTGATCGAGCGATTCACTTGGTCCTGTCTGTTCAGTGTCTCAGTGGGCCCCGCACCCAGCACCTGGGCCATCGCTTCACCCCTCATCCCCCCCACCCCCAACACTCTTCCCCCTCGTGGCTGCTGTCAAATGCAAGTATTATTATTATTAACCTGGTCTTTCACTGCTCTTCCCTCTCCAGTGGCCCTTCCACAGGTTCCTCTGTTTCCAGGAACCTGCCTCTGCCTTTGCCTCAGTGCTGAACGGATTGGCGAGTCTGGTGATGCTCAGCAGATACCGGTCGGCAGTGCCAGCCACGTCGCCCATGTACCGGACCTGCAACTCGTTTGCCATGGTAACCGCACCCACGCCCCAGGTCTCGCGCTCTCCTCTCCTGCTCTTACACTCAGCTTCAATCCACGACTGTTTGTGGGGACGCTGCCGTGTTTCGCCCACAAAATACACAGTCAATTCACTTGGCAGTATATTCTGAGACGTCTCAATGACATACGGAGCTACACTTGCAAGAATTATCATTAATAGTGTTATTTTAATATTATGTTAATCCCTTTATTATATTAAAGATTAATAATAATAATCCCTTCAAAACAAAAAAACAATAATAAATTGGTCATTTTCAATCCACGACTGTTTGTGGGACATTGCTGTGTGCAATTGGCTCACAAATATACGGTCAATTCACTTTATAACATATCCTGTGAAGAGCTTTGAGACGTCGAGAAGACGTGAAAAGCGCTATAACAAATGCAAGTATTATTATTATTATTTAACTCATTTATTGGCTCTAAGCTCAACATCTTGGGCCGACTGGTTAATAAGAGGCTGCCCAATAATTGGTCTCACTTCACAGATCAAGGATGGCCAATTTGCGGCCTATTTTACGCACATGAGGCCGCAGGTTGTAGATTATCCCTGTCGTAGATTATCGAGAGATGCCGACCTTTCACTCCCACTGTCTGAGAGTGAAGAGCTCATGAGCAATGTTTTGCTGATTCCCTTTTGATTAGTACGAGACGGAGGCTCCTGTCTGCCCCGTCTGCCTGTAATATTCCCCCGCAGTCTTACCTGCACCACAGCCTTGACTGCGTGTAGTGATCATATTTCAATGTAACAAGGCAGTGTTCCTGGTTCTGTCCCTGAGTGTGGGGACCAACCGGGCTCTGGGAGGGGTGGGGGTATTGGAGACTGGGATGGTGTAGATTGTCGCAGGTACAGCTGGTCTCTGTCTGATTGTCGCTCTTTCCTGCAGGTGACGTTGAACGCATGGTTTTGGTCCACAGTGTTTCACACAAGAGACACCTTCCTAACAGAGGTGAGTGACAGCCCCACCCCTACACCCTCCCTCCCCCACCCACCCCTCCCTCCTCCTTTCCAGCTCCCCCTCCCCCCCCCAAGTTAGAGACAGAGCTCACAGACAACAACACATCCAGTCCGTTTGCCCGAATTGTAACAGGTTTTTTTTTAATTTTTTTTTTACAGAAAATGGATTATTTCTGTGCGTCCGCAGTGGTGCTGTACTCCATCTACCTCTGCTGTGTGCGGTGAGTGTTCCCATCCTTAACCTCTCATCCTTATCCTTTCATCCTTATCCTCTCATCTTTATCCTTATCCTCTCATCCTTACTTTGTGATCCGAAGGACGTTACTTCCGACAAACACACTCCAAGCCCTGCACTGGAACATCAGATTATACTTTACGAGTTCCAAGAAACTCGAACCTAACCCTGGCCCCGAGTAAACCGATGAATTTACTTAACCCTTGCCTGAGCGCTGTGTTACTATACCGTTTTCTGAAGTTGGGGCTCTGCCTGTTTGCAGGACTCTGGGGCTGAATCACCAGCTGATCGCCAGTCTCTTTGGGGCACTGCTGGTGTTCCTCTTCGCAGGTCACGTCTGGTACCTGACCTACGTACGCTTTGACTACGGCTACAACATGGCAGCGAATACACTGATAGGTAGGAGGCTGCTCACTGTGCCCATGGCAACCGGGGAACGCAGTCTCTCTCTCCGTAACTTTTAGTTTTTTTTTATTTTAAATATTTGTAAATGTCTTGAGTGCCCACAATAACTAAAGCGATTCAAGGTTTGGACCCAGGTCAGTCTGAGACAGAAAGCCATTCTGCTGGCTGTGTGAATATGGATGGACAGTGTAGAGGAAGCTTTACTCTGTGGTCAACCCTGTTGACCCAGCAATAAGTAGGAACCCGGTTCTTCATCAATTGGCGGATCGCTTTTCCGGGGATAATAATTCCTTTTAAAAAAATAATAATAAATTGGTCACTTGGGGACGCTGCTCTGTGCAATTGGCTGCTGTGTTTCGCCCACAAAATATACAGTGAGGCGCTTTGAGACGCAAGGATTATTATTATTATTATAATCTGCATAATAGCTGACCTGGGCGGGCAGCGTTACCCTTTGCTGGTGATGGTGGGAGGGTGTAAGTTCCTGGTGGATTATCAGTCCGGTGTGACGCAGTGTTTGTCGGCAGGTGTGGTTAACCTGCTGTGGTGGCTGGGCTGGTGTCTGTGGCAGCGCCGGGTTCTGCCCTACGTGTGGAAGTGTATGATTGTCGTCACGATGCTGCACGGATTCGCTCTCCTGGAGCTGCTGGACTTCCCGCCTTTACTGTGGGTGCTCGACGCTCACGCACTCTGGCATTTTAGCACCATCCCTGTCCCATTCCTCTTCTACAGGTGAGTGTGGGCTGGTGTGTGTCACACAGCTGAGTGTCTGTTGGCGTGTGTCGCACAAGCGAGCGTGGGCAGGTGCTTGCCACACGGGCGAGGGTCGCACACGGGCGAGGGTCGCACACGGGCGAGGGTCGCACACGGGCGAGGGTCGCACACGGGCGAGGGTCGCACACGGGCGAGGGTCGCACACGGGCGAGTGTGAGCGGGTGTGTGTCTCAACAGATGTGTGAGGGAGTTTCACACGTGTGTGTGTGTATATAGGCATAAGTGCGAGCGGGTGAGTACGGGCAGGATGGGTCTCCCAGGTATGTGTGGAGATTAAAGGAGGGTCTCCTTTTGTTCCAGTTTCCTAGTTGATGACAGCCTACACCTTTTCAAGCTGAAGACAGAATTCGGGAAAGCAGAGTGAGCTGCCTGAGAGGAAAGGGAACTGAATGTCGGATACACTGCCTCAACCTTTCAAACCCCAACCCAATGAACTGCCACTAACACTAACCCCCTGCCCTGATGTGGACTGGCCAATTTTAAAGCCTTCATATTATCATTATTATTTATATTTTGCTGCCTGTTCTCTCTTGATTTTGAATGTGTTTGCGCGTGGATTCGAAGCACGAAGGCTTTACAGAATGCGTTTAAAATTCAACCCACTTCCCCTTTCCCGCTCAGGCCCCCTCCCCAGAAAAATGACACCCCAATGGTTGTTTATTCTGAACCGAACACTGAATGTTTCTGGTACGAACGAACACTGATAGTGCTGCTGACCAGTTGAGTGTCTGGTCACTTGTGCCGAATTCCTGCAATAACGGGCGATGCCACACGATGGCGCAATGCCACCGTGTGCTTTACTGGGAATGGTATCCTGGACTGGGAACGCTATTCCGGTTGTGTGTGTGTGTGTGTGTGTGTGAGACACACATCTGCCCACCCTCACCTGTGTGGCAAACACCTGCCCGCACTCACACTGAGCTCCATCCACCCTACCCTCCGCTCCCTTCCAGCTGAGGAGGACATTTTGCCCTAATTCATTGGATGAACATTTTGGGTTGAGTTTGAATCGAAAACAACACAGTTAAGAGTTTGGAGGGCAGTTGGATGGAAATCAAGTGAACATTTTAATTCATTGAGTGTTTCCTCGTTTCACACAGTACCCAACACTGCAGATATCTAATGTGCCTCATTATACATGTACACCGCATGTTTCTGACTATTGATGACACACGTACAGAGCCTGTATCCTACCATTACACACATGTAACACAGCATGCATCTAACATTGTTCATATAGACTTAAATCCATTTCACATCTTTACAATGAACACACACACATACGTAACATGTATGTTTGAGTTAAGCGCCACTGTTAAGTGCTCTGAGACACTGCCTTGCGTGGAGAACACTGTTTGAGTGCAAGTTGTTGTGTGACGATTACACTGATGCCTACAATTGTATGAGAATTGTCACATGTTTTGAGTTCACTCCGTGCCCAGGCACTGGTCAGGGATGATAGCAACATGGGACACATGTTCATACAGTCTTGTCACACAGAGACAGACAGACAGACAAACGTGTCTCAGAGCATTTCATTCAGTCACAGGGCTAGCGGGAGGCACTGCGCCAAACAGCAGCAGCCAGTTTGTGAAGCAATAAAGCAAGTTTTGAATAAAGTTCATTGAAATAAAAATAGTTTCTCAATTTATCCCAACCCCCCCCCCCCCCCCCAGGCGTGTTTCCTCTGCTCCACTGACCACCCCCACTCCCTTGGACATCAGATAGTGGAATTGTTGATGCACAGATCGTCGCATTTGCAGCTATTGGGAGATTGTTTCAGCTGGAGTAGAGAGCGAGTGAGAGGTGCTCAATATAATCAAAGCATTCAAGAGGAAAAATGGTGGGGAACTTTCTGATGGTGGGTGACTTGGGGACAAGATGGAGAGTGAAAGGGGAAGTTATGTCGTCTTTTTTTCGAGGCAGAGGATTGTATGAGAGTGGAAAGAGTTGTCATAAGCGGCGATCTGAAGAGACTATCGGAGCATTTGAAAGGGAATTAGAATAAGTACATGTGGAGGCGGAGGATTACAGCGGGAAACAGCCAACAATGGGGATTGATAATTATAATCTGCATTTGATAGAGCGCCTTATCACATCTTCAAGACATCTCAAAGCGCTTCACAGGATTATACTGTAAAGTGTAGGGACTGTATGTTTGGTGGGAGAAACTGGGGGGGGTGCGGGGGGTTGGGAAGAGCAGTGAATGGAGAATAGAATAGAGAGGGAAAGAGCGGGGAATAATATAATCCTTGCATTTGATATAGTGCCTTATCACTTCTTCAAGCCGTCTCAAAGCGCTTAGCAGAATGTACTGTGAAGTGACTGTACATTTTGTGGGCAAAACAAATGGGGAATAGAGGGAGGAAAGAGCAGGGGAATAAAGGAGGGGGAAAGCAGAGCAATGGGCTCATGATAGATGGAATAGCAAACACTCACTTTACACGTGGGGGCAATGACCTCCGGCCAATGTGGTCGGATTTTTGTGTAGCCGGTTCCCAGCTCAGTCAGTCAGTCGGTAAGGGTGGGAGTGGGAGCTGGTGGGATCTTGACCCCGAGCGACTCAGAGCTTCTGAGCCTGGAGATAGAAGACCCCTCGCACGTCATCCACCCCGATCTTCAGCCCCGCCGGCATGATGTACGTCTGGAACACTCTGATACGGTACCCAGCTCCGGTCACCGCCTGCTTCACGTATTCCTCGTCCACGGGTAACACCGGGATCCGCACCTGACCCGCCAGGTAATAGGACTCGTCCAGGGCCCCGATCATCAGCAGGAACCCGCCAGGCACCAGCAGGGTGGTGACGTTAGCCAACGCCGACTCCAGGCTTCGCTTGTCGGCGCTCACCGCCTCCAGGCAGAAGGTGGTGGTGATGGCGTCCACCGGCCCCAGCGAGGCCGGGTGCAGCGGGTTGGGCTGCTGGACGTCACAACGCCACACGCCCTTCACCTTCTGCCGGAGCCTCTCGGCCTTCTCCAGCCACCGCTCGCTGCAACCCAGAGACTGTGCCACTGACTAACCTCACCACTGACCCCCCCACTCTCACACTCACCCCCTCACACTGACCAACCACGCGCACACTCACCCCCCACACACACACTCACTGACCCCCCTCCCCATTCACTTGCCTCCCTCTAACACTCACCCCCCCCACTGACCTCACCATACACACTCACCCCCCACACACACACACTCATCCCCCCCCCCACAAACACTGACTGTCCCCCCCACCACTCACTTCCCTCTCAAACTGACCTCCCTCCCACCCCGTCCCCCCTCACACACACACACGCACTGACCGCAACACACTCACTGCACTGACCCCCTCCACACACACACACCTGCACACACTGATGGTATTGGTGTTGTGGGGGACATGGAGGGGGCGGGGGGTTCAGTGTGAGGGGTGTTGGTTGTGTGGTGGGGATGCTGGGGATATGTAAGGGCATGTGTGTATGTGAGGGGGGAGTTGGGGGTGAAGGGGGGGTTAGTGAAGCTGGTGTCTGAGCTCTAGTTGGGGTCAGACCTCCTCTCACGCTGTCACCACGTGTTGGTGGCTCTTACCTGTTGCCCTCGAGGTTACAGACGTATTTGAGGTACGGACTCCAGTCGAAAGCATCGGGTTCTCCGTGCAGCCACTTGCTGAGCTCCTGCCTATTCACCTCCAGGTAATCGGATAAAATGATCTCCTCAAAGTGCTCGCAGGCACTGATCACCTGGTATATGGTGGGTCCCGAGCCGATATCGAGCAGTGTGCGGCCTCGCACCTCTCCTACAGGGTAGGAAACACTGTGTCACGTAATAATAATCCTTGCATTTTATACAGCGCCTCATCAAGTTTCCGAGACGTCTAAAAGCGCTTCGCCGGATATACCATAAAGGGTTTTGACTGTGTATTTTGTGGGCGAAACGCGGCAGCCAATTGCGCCTACAGCAACGTCCCAGGGACGTTGAGCGATTATTACCCCTGGAAAGCGATCCGCCAATTGACTAACAACCGGGTTCCCTGCCCCTATTGATCGATCGATCTGCCCTTCTGAATCCCGTTGATAAGCCAGTCTGGCTGGTTTGTCATCAGCAGCGCTCTGGACATCTATTGTCTCCGCTCCATATAAACACAACAACAACAACAAATGACATTCACATGGATCCTTTCACGTCGGGAGGACGTCCTGAGGCGCTGGACAGTCAGGGGTTTGGACCCGAGCTGGTAGTTGGGATCAGGAGGGGTGGGTGAGGGGGGGTAGGAGGGTGATCGAAGGCGCGGTGGGAGAGGAGGGTCTTGAGATGCCTTGAAGGAGGCAAGGAAGGGAGGGACGGAGCGAGGTGAAGGGACTGTGGGATGGAGTTCCAGAGGGTGGGAGGCAGAGATCACCCCATTCCCCCACTCTCTATCTAAGTCCCTGCCCTCGCTGACTATTGGTGACTAACCGGTTGAGAAGGAGGAGGCGAGGCAGCGAAGTTTCCAGGGAACCACACAATCTTCACTCTCAAAGTTGGCGCGAGGGTGGGTGTAGTTGTTCTGAAGGTAAGCTCGGGGGTCGAAAAGCTCGTAGCCCTGCTTGACCTCAGCCACGCTGGACATCTTCACACAGTCTCTGACAGCCAGCAGCGGGTTCCTGTGACTGTCTGAGGCTCTGGTGATGGGGGGAGTGGATTGCCAGTGTTTATACACTTTCTCCATAGCCCCCAGGCATTGATCCTATCAGCATTTCTAAATGGTTTCATTAGGAGTTCGGGGACTTTAACCACCAGCGATTCAGATGGTGAACAACCTTCAAGCATGTACTAAATTGGTATAATTTTGGTTTAAAAATAACGAGAGAAACAGCAGACTGGCTGATGGTGAGTTATCTGACAGGCTGGGAACTGGCGTGAAGTGTAATCACACCCAAACTTCCAGCTACAGGAGCAATGGGTGCAGTGCGCTGGTTAGCTCACTCACCCCGCACGCGAGAGGACCTGGGTTCAATCCCCGGGCGGGATGAAACCTTAGGCAAGTTTCCTTACTCCACACACACGCCTCTGTTTACCAAGCTGTAAGTAGGAACCCGGATGTTAGTCGATTGGCGGGTCGTTTCCGGGGGTAATAATCCCTTCAAAACAAAAAGGACACTCAATCCACGACTGTCTGCGGGGACACATCTATAATCATAATAATAATAATAATAATCCTTGCATTTGATATAGCGCTTTTCACGTCGGGAGGACATCCCAAAGCGCTTCACAGAACACACTGTAAAGTGAATTGACTGTATATTTGTGGGCGAACGCGGCAGCCAATTGCGCACAGCAATGTCCCACAAACAGTCGTAGATTGAAAATGCCCAATTTATTATTGTTTTTGGTTTTGGAGGGATTATTATTAGGCTCTGTGTGGAGTAAGGAAACTTGCCCAAGGTTTCGCCCTCTGCCTGGAATTGAACTCAGGTCTCTCACTTGCAAAGCGAGTGCTCTAACCACTGAGCTACAGGACTCCACATCTGTGCGCAATTGGCTGCCGCTTTTCACCCACTTAACAATAATAATAATAACAATAATAATCCTTGCATTTGATACAGCGTCTTATCACGTCTTTGAGGTACCTCAAAGCGCTTCACAGAATATACCGTAAAATGAATTGACTGTGTATTTTGTGGGCGAAACGCGGCAGCCATTTGCGGCACAGCAGCGTCCACAAACAGCCGTGGATTGAGTGACCAAATCATCATTATTGTGTGAAGCGCTTTGAGACGTCTCAAACGACCTGGTAAGGCGCCGTATCAAAATACAATGATGCTTAATATTATCGTTAATAACATTATTATTTTACCCACCGGAGTCATCGGAGAAGCTTCAAAGTTGTGGCGGAGACACTGCTGTTAAATTTCACTGCTGAGAAGTTGTGACAAGTGAATGATGCCTCCTCCTTAGCCCTGCAGCAGAAGGTAGTGATCACTCACCTTATCACGGACCGAGGACCGTCTGTGGCTTTTCAACAGCTGCCGATGATTATGATAGAAATGCTGATAAAAGGAGAGTGAGGACATTCACGCTCACAGTCGGGCCTCGCTAATGGGTTTACTCTGCTCACACATCTCCCTCTAACCCTATTTAGAAGCTGTGGATGCAAAACAGAACTCAAGACGTAATAAAGTTACACTTATTTATAGGCAAGAAAATTGTCACAAGCTGAATTGTCGCGCCTCAGAGAGGAAGTCCGAGGTAAAACATAGCCAGCAGTGAGGCTGACCAGGTGCACTTAATGGTGTGCTTTGATCTAAGCTTTGGGCTGTAATGGGATTAGAAATGCTCTTCTATCGAGGCTTGAACATCCACAGATTCTTCATTAAGTTTTCTGCCAAAGTCCCTTGTTGATAAGAAGGTGTATTGGTGCCACACGGCAGCAATCAATGTTCCCTCCCTGTAACCTCGATTCCCTCCAGAATCTGTTCTGGGTTTCGATGAGTCCACTTTGAAAGGCAGCCTTTCTGCCCCTCACCCCAACCCCCTAACCCCCACCACCACACCATCCTTTGGAATTCCATCCCACAATCCCTTCGCCTCGCTCCCCTCCTTCAAGGCCAGTCTCAAGATCCTCCTCTTCGACCGCTCCTTCGGTCACCCTCCTACATCCTATCCTCTCTGCCCTCCACCCCTCCTGATCCCAATCCCCGGCTCGGGCCCAGATCCCTGACTGTCCAGCGCCTTAGGACGTCCTCCCGATATGAAAGGCGCCGTGTAAATGTAAATCTGTCGTTGTTGTTGTCAAGGCCACTGGCTCATACCATGTGGTTGGCACGTTCTGTACACGTCAAGTACATTGGCAGACGCAGAACCCCCTTCTCTTTTTAAGTAGCGCCATGGAATCTTTAACGAACAGGCAGACGGGAAGAGGCGGTTGGGATTTAATGTCTCATCTGACAATGCAAGCACTATTTTGGAGTGTCAGCCTGGGTTGTGTGTTCGGAGTCCCAACTTGGGGCTCGAACCCACAACCTTCTGTCTCGGCGGCGAGAATCCTACCCACTGAGCCAAATTAATATCCTGAGATCAAACGAGTTGGAGAGGCTTCTTCAGCTGAACCTCTCCCTTGATCTTTCACGATCTTGTGAAACGATGTTATATTTATACAAGACGTCGGTTACAAGACATTACTCAGATGGTTAGGCTGAAGTGAAGAGTGTTATGTTCAAGGCGTCTAGTTACCAAAGGTAATCAGAGCCATGTTTAAGTGCTGATGAACAAATTACCTTCTGCTGTCGAAATGCTATGAGGTAATTGCTATGACACTCTCTGCTCTGTGTACATCAGATTTATTGAGCTGCTGCAGGATAGTCAGCCCAGGGGTTGGGTTATCCATCGTGTATTTTGTGAGTAAGAATAATAATTTGGTCTCTCAATCCTCGGTTGTTTGTGGGACGCTGCCGTGCGCAATCGGCTGCCGCGTTTCATCCACAAGATACACGTTCGATTCGCTTTTCACTATATCCTGTGAAGCGCTTTGAGGCGTCTTGAAGACGTGATAAGGCGCTGTGTCAAATGGAAGGATTATTATTATTTCTATGGCGCCCTTCACGGGGGGGGTAGCGTTTGACAGTGGAGGAGTCTGGAGAGTAAAGGGGGAGGTAAACGTAAGCACGATCAAAAAGGGAAGGTCTTTAGCTCTGTAAACCCTGCATTTACTCAGAGCTCGAGAGTCAAAACGGTTCAGCCTGTCCGTCTGATTTACAGAGGATTGAGTGAGTGGGCCAGGTGCTGTCCCCTGTCCCCTCTGACATTGAGTAACGCTCAGTATTTAGCCGCTGATGGGACGTTTGAATATGATCCCTCCTTACTGAAAAGTCAGTGTGGGGGTTATGTTCTGGTAACTGCTAATGCTTGAATTCTCTGTGGACACATCACCAGCAATCCTGGCACTGTAACCTACCCGGGGTGGAGTTGCTCCAGTGATCAGTGTGTGGGTACAATGACAACATAGACTGGAATAGAAAGCAGAGAGCTTATATAACACAGCCAGGTTGCCCTGAGCTCAATCACCCACTGACAGACATAGCTCTGCACTGGACCAGACTGGACTACAGTGGACTGACCTGAATCAGCTCAGCGCTTGAGAAAGAAGTGAAGGTGTTTTTTGAGCAGAACACGCACTCGCAGAGCACGATGCCGTCCGTCACTCACCTGGGCAGCACGGTGAAAGAAGAGAACTCGGTGCGGAAGGAGTTCTACACAGCTGAGTGGCAGAGCTTGACCATGGCAATCCGCCCCTGGGAGGGGTGAGTACCTGTGGCGAACGATCATAGAATCCTAGAATTATACAGCGCAGAAGGAGGCCACTCGGCCCATCGTGCCCGTGCCGGCTCTTTGAAAGAGCTGTCCAAATGAATCCTGTTCCCACCGCTCTCTCTGCCCATAGCCTTGCAAAATTTGTCCTCCGCAATGTGGGCAGGACTCTCCCTCCCTCCCTCCTTCTCTTGGACTATGGGTTACAGTGTGTCCCAGCTCAAGTGAGGAATCTCCATCTGACTCGCAAAGACAGTGTGAGAGACAGACAGACAGAGAGAGTGAGAGATGGGGGGAGAGTGGAGGGGCGAGAGGGCGAGAAAAGCAGCCGGGAATGAAAAGGAGAAAACACAAGAGGAGAGACTGAGCTCAAATCCCTCTTTAAATATCAATCACGAGCCACACATCAGAGAGTTGCAGAGAGCAGGGCAAAGTGATTGAACGCTCACCCACCAATGTCGTCGTGGATGGGGTGGAGGACTAAGGCCATTGGAGATATAATCAGGATGGGTGCAGCACAGAAGGGGGCCATTTGACCCATCCAGTGTGTGCTGGTGCTTGATTTTTTTTTTGCTGGTATTTGTCGAATTCCCTCTTCGAAGCTGCTATCGATGTAGCTTTGGCAACTATTTGAGATGGAGAATTCCATGCTCTAATAATATTAAGTTCCAACAGTGTTATTAAAACATCAGGGAATAAAACAACAGCAAATGACATTTATATAACGCCTTTCACGTTGGGAGGAGGTCCCAAGGCGCTGGACAGTTAAGGGTTTGGGATCAAGAGGAGCGAGGTTCTGATAAAACAACCCGTACAGACTGAAACACACTCTCAGTGCAAGGCATTTGGGGATGGATGCAGCAGGGAATTGGCTTTGAAACGATCAATAGCATAGGAAAGTATCAAGCTCCTCTCCCGCCATCCGAAAATTCCTCTACACTGGATCACAGAGGTGGGTGGGGTAAGGGTGTGGGCGCTAACCTCACTGCTCCGTGACCAGAGGCTGGCATTGTGCTGCATACTCTGCCTGTCAATTCAACGAGGGGTTAACCTGCGACTCTCTTACCTTCACAGATGCACCGTACAGGAGGCGGATCGCAGGCGACGGGAGAGCTACGACAGGAGGCACCAGGTGGCCTATCTGATACAGAGATCGCCCAATGGCATCATGGGGTTAGGGCGCGTGGGGGAGAGGCTGAGGGAATACAGGGTGCCCTACCAACATGGGCTGCCTGTTCCCATCTTCAAACCCACCCACATCAGCCCCAAGGTGGAACGGGCCGACACACCTCCGGTGCTGAAGGATATCATGGAGCTTGAGCGCGCTCTGGGCTCAGACGGGAGCTGTCCCAACAAGCGAGAGATCTCCCAAATCACCAGGGAACTCCCTCCCGTGATCCAGCCCGTGAAACTGGACGCCCAGAAATCAGGGCTGGCCCTCAGGTCGCTCTCCAGGTCCATGTCCCACGAGGCACAGAGAGGCTGAGCCGTTCGGCCCCAACAGGAGGGTCAAGCGGGAAAAGGCGGTCTGCGTGATTGATAGACGTTAGATGTATGTGTGAGAGAAGGTTTGAGGCAGATGCTGTGATAACGCAAGTCGATTTGGAGACTGAGGGAGACTGATGTTACTCTAAGGCATGAGGTTGGTGGCACTTGAGAGTTGGAGGCAAAGAATGGAAGTGATATTGTACGATATGACCTGAAAGTGTTTGATTTAAAAATGGTTCCTATTCAAAGGTATCTCCTATTCAAGAATTTATCATAGAGTATTAGTCCTGTATAGCTCCAGAGGTTTTATTTTATTTTGTAATAAAGTGATAGTTTTGTACTGATCGGAAGAGATGTTGAAATAAAGTGACGATTGAGCGTGTGTGTGTGTGAGCTGAGTCAGTTAAATTTCAGACCTGCAACATTCACCCACTTTCACCTCACACGTCCGATACCAATAATAATAATAAAAATAATAATAATAATCCTTGCATTTGAGACAGCACCTTAACAAATCTCGAGACGTCTCGAAGAGCTTCACAGGATATACCGTAAATTGAATCGACTGTATATTTTATGGACAAACGAACAAACAAGTACCGTGCATTTAACACAATTACCGGAAGAGCAAAGTGTGAGGTGAGTTACAGGAATGTATTTCGCCCAGAGAGCCATTGGGAGGTGAGGTGCTCATTCTTGAGCTGTGGTTGAAACAGAATCCGTGTTAGCTTTCAAGAAGGAGTCATAAACATATCTGAAAAGGACGGGGTGTGAAAGGGCGGATGGAATAATGCGTGCGGTTTTGGGGCACTATATTCTAGAAAGGGAAAAGAGCAGGGAATTGGGATTAAGATGAAAAAAAAACCTGACATGAAATAATGGGCTGAAAGACATCTGCGTTTCTATGGTTCTATGGCCTGGAGAAAAGTCAGGGGAATGGGGCTAAATGGATAGCTCGTTCAGAGAGCCAGCAGAACATAATCCCAGTTTACCGAACCTGTCATCATAGATAAACCCCTTCAAACCATGTATTAATTAAACAATCTCAGTCATTGGAGAGGCAGTGCTGGGCGAGGGCTGCAATGTCAGAGATGCCGTCCTTCAGATGAGGTCCTGTCTGTCTGTTCAGGGGAACATTAAAGATCCCGCGGCGCTAGTTGAAAAGAGGAGGAAGTTTCTCTCTCCCGGTGTCCTGGCCAACAATCCCCCGAAATAAAAATTGGTCTCTCACTGTTTGTGGGCTGTTGCTGCGTTCAAAATTGGCTGCTGAGTTTCCCCCACAAATCGCACAGTCACTGCACTTTACAGTAAATCCTGTGAAGCCCTTTGAGACGTCCTCCCGCCATGAAAGGTGCTATCACAAATGTAAGGATTATTATTATTAGTAGTATCATACTTATAGCTCCTACCCTGTCCTTTACCACTCTTTCTCCTAATGTGTTTATAAATTGCTTTAATATTTCCCTTGGGACGTCCTTCCGACATGAAAGGCACTTATATAAATGTCATTTGTTGCTTTGTTGTTGTTGTTGTGGTTATGTCCAGCTCGCACTCTGAGCCCCTGAGACTGAGAGACATCTCTCAGTATACAGATACGTATACCAGTCAGGATTAGTTCAGTCTCAGTCGGAGAGGGTTCCTGCTCACACCTCCGTTGCAATGTCCTGGCCGACAGACAGACGGCACTAAAACATATCGTTCCCGATGGACAGAATGTGGAGGTCAACAGTTTGCAAGGAGGGGATGAAGCTTTCCCATCCTCTGCCAGTTTCTATCAAACGACCTTGTTAAAAAAAAAGCAGCTGGCTCCAACGCAGGCAGCTCTGACGTACTCTAAGCAGGAGGTAAAGCTCATTCTCTGCCCCCAGCCCTGACACCAGTTAAAAACATTTTTTTTTTATCCAGGGAGTTGTTACGGTCTGGAACGCACTGCCTGAAAGGGACGTGGAAGCAGATTTGATAACAGCTTTCAAAGGGAAATTGGACAGGTACTTAAAAAAGAAAAAATTTGCAGGGTTATGGGGTAAGAACGGGGGGAGTGGGACTAGTTGGATAGCTCTTTCAAAGAGCCGACACAGGCACGATGGGCTGAATGACTTCCTTCTGTGCTATAAGGTTCCATAACTGTATCAGCCAACTGGGATAGATTGCCAATTGGTGAGAAGGATTGTGTTAAGCCCTAAGGTAGAATAATCACACGTCCCCAATTTCCAACGACAGTCCTCGGATGAGGTATTGTATCTCCATGGAACAAATTTACCCCGTCTTGAGCTCAGCAACAAACCGAGCAAGAACAATAACAACAACAACAGCAGCAAAATTACTCTAAAACAGATATACTCCTCAGAGAAACACAGATTAAGCGGAGCTGGGTGTGTGGGTGGCTTTCTTGCCATCTTGAGCGCTCGTGACGCTACCCCCGCGTGAAGGGCGCTCTATAAATGCAAGTTGTTGTTGGTGGTGGTGGTTGCAGAATGAGGGTAGGAGCTGTGGATGAGCCCAGCTTACTCGGCATCTGGGTGAACATGCACAGTGATCTGTGAGGGTGCACCAGTGTGCACGGGATGATGCACAGGGCACCATTAATCTGTGAGCGCACAATATGTTGAGACCGATGAAGTGATTGAATGTCCTTTGGTGCCACGTTCCCACAGTGGCTAAACATAGACAAGGCAGCTGCTGTTTACAAACTCAGGAATGCTCAGCGGGACGCACATGGCTCTCTGCTCATCTCCCTTCGCAAACTGTCCTGCTCCGCCATGGTATCAATGAATTCGAGTGGGAACGAATGACTCATGAGCATTCGTTCCATGGGCTGAAAGTCCACATAGTTTTTAGTCATGTTACTCATACGCAAATAGAGAGAAACACTTCGCTGATTGATAACAGAGAGTTCTTGTGTTCTCAGTCTCTTCTCTTCACTCATCTACACTCCTGGGTATATAGAGACAGGAGCCCCTCATCCCATCAAATCTGACTCACCATTAAGCCTATAGCTACTCTCACTGAAGAGGCGATCCCAAGCAGCTTAAGCAGCATTAAGCGAATATAAAGATTAGTGAGCAGGCAAGGTCTAGATACAGCTGTTAGAGTAAAGCTTCACGGCCATTAATTGTCAGCCTGATCCCAGTTGATAGCACTTTCGCCTCCGGGTAAGAAGGTTTTAGGTTCAGACTCCACGTTGGGATCTTGGAGTTCAGTGGAGCCTGGGGGATTGTGAGAGGGTGGTGGGGGGGTGCACATTGGCAGAGGTGCTGCTGTCCTTCGGGATGAAATGTTAAAGATCCTGTGATGGTGTTGGAAAAAGAGAATGGGATTTCTTCTGGTTTCTGGTCAACAATCCTCCATATACATTGGTCATTCAGTCTGGGGCCTTTGCTGGGCACAAGTTGACTGCTGGAGTCACCTACGAGAACGCACTCATTCCACTTCGTAGTAAATATCTTGCGAGACGCTTTGCAATCTTTCAACATCATACGCGCTATGTCAAACCCAAAATTATTAATAATTTCGGTCCACAGTATATCCGGGACACTGCTGGTGACAGCCCAGTCAGTCTGGCTCATCGGCAGGACTCAGTGGGGCAGACGAGTGAGGGGGACAGGGATTCTTCCTACTCAGCTCCTGTTAACCCTGCAAGCCAAAGCTCTAATGGGTAGTCCTTGCTGGACAAGCAGCAGGAAAGGTTAACAGACCAGTTCTGAATAGTCAATGGAGTTAAACTCCAGCAGTTTTCCCTAACGCACACTCTGAGCTCCCAATCCTTAGCTCTCGCCAATCTTTCCGGAATTAGGTAAGCAGTGTGCGTCCGTCCAGGGAGAGAGTGAGCATTCCATTCCAGACACAGGGAAATTTCCTTGTGCCAGTGGCGTACTTTATGTGGAATTCCCAGCTGGTTTGGATACCCTTAAGCACGGTGACGGGTTTTACACCCACGCGTGTCAGACACCCATCTGACCCCCTTAAAAAAAAACAATTGGTCTCAGTCAGACTGGACGGGTTGGAGTAGCTGAGGTCAGTCACTGCTGGAGACAGAGCACAGCACGGAGCAGCTTCTACTGCTGGTTTCAGGGCACTGAAACTGCCTGCCTGTGTTTACATTGTGCGCAGACCGAGGCTGTTCCCTGGGTGACAGGGAGCAAAGACATCAGAAGGAATGTCGGCAGCTGCCAAGAGCCAAGACACGCTGCTGTGCAGTGCCCAAAACGCTGGGACACTTAATCCCCGCATTACTTCCAGGCTGTTTGTCTGCGCTGCAGATCGCTGGCTTTGTGGACAGATGGTGATTTACTCAGTATACGTGTGTGCAGTAGGAGCCGGTCGCTCCACACACTGTCCGTGTTTGCTTTGGCCGGGCGCCAGGTATGAGGGATCAGGTTCAGCTCGAACAGTGGCGGCAGCCTCACTTAAAATTCCCACCTCCTCCGTCTCCAACCTCGCTCCATCCACCTCTTCGGAATTTGCTCGTGTCCCTTCGCTCGGATCTACAGTGATCCGGGATAGATTGAACGCATCAGCCATCGTGTCGATTGAGCAGCGTTTGACACGCACACCAGTTTGAAGTGTTTGCAGCTATGAAGTCACGCAAGAAAATATGCATCTTTAAGAGGCATTGTTGCATATTCTGCGTGCATAGTTCAAAGGGACCCCCACCCACCACCCAATTGTGATCTGCCTTAAGTTCCCCCACCCCCCACCACCCACCGATCTCCTATTCTGGTCCTTTTCCTGTCCAGGAGGATGGAAGGGTTGGATGGTCACATGAACACCTCCCAAACCTCCATTATTTAAGCGCTCTAGGACATTACAGCTGCGAGAGGGGCGCAAGTTGTTGTTGTATTTTCATGTGAGAGCCAAGACAACAACTTACAACAATAATAATAATCCTTGCATTTGATATAGCATCCAAAGAAAATCTTGCAAACTGGTACTGAGACAATTTGTTGGAACCCAATGCCAGTCAGTGCCAGTCGATGCCACTCACCCAACCCCTATCAGTGACATTCAGTTGACACAGGCAATCAAACAAAGTCTCTAATATGAAAACTTTGTGTGCTGTGTGCCCTTTCCTCCTTCAAGACCGGTCTCAACACCTTTCTCTTCAACCGTGCCTTCAGCTCCCCTCTCGACTCTCTACCCCCTCCTCGCTCCCTCCCTTCCCTCTCCTCCTCGCTCCCTCTCTTCCCTCCCCTCACCCGGACCATTTCCCCCCTGCTCGGGTCCCGACCCAACTGTCCACCGCCTTGGGACGTCCTCCTGACGTGAAAGGCGCTCTATAAATGCAATCTTGTTGGTGTTGTTGTTGTGCTGGGTGACTGTCACTGCTATTGACTTGCTCTGTGTGTGCTGTGCTGAGCGATTGTTACTGTCATTGACTCTTTAGCAGATAATCCAAGTAAATCTCTCAGATTAAATCTTTAGCCACTCTGAGAACGGCACGCAGGCTGAGCAGGGATAGCGTGAGGACAGGACAGGTCGATCATTTCAAAGAGGAATTACTCAGTGTTGACGGAATTTGTTTGTGGCTGTTGCCAAGTTACAGGAACTGGGGTTGGATCGGATGCCTGCCTTAGATTGGATGTCAGTCACACGTCAAAATGCTACAAGTCATTGGCAGCAGTGGGAGAGCAGGGTAAGGGGAGGGGGAGAGGCAATATCCCCATCTCCACGTTCTCTGGTAGGGCTGTTTTCATACAATGTTGTCACTGAGTGCAGTGAGATGGATCGGACACACTCACAAGATCAGCAGATCAGTCTGGATGAAGAATGTTCCATCCGAACTCATCCCTCCAGAACACCCCCCACCCCTCCCACCCACATCACTGCATCAAAGCAGCTTTTTAAATGAATCCCAGCGTCCTGGCCTCAACCCACTTTCTTTGCAACCATGATCCAGTCATTGATCATGCTCTGCTTAAAGAAACACTTCCTGGCGTCTATCCTGAAGTTGCCCTTTGCAATATGATCCTTGCATTTGATACAGCACTTAACATGTCTTCGCGACATCTCAAAGTGATATATTGTAAAATGAATTGACTATATATTTTGGGGCCAAATACAACTCTAAACCTGTGTCCTACAGTTCTACTGTCTTGATACATTCTTAAGTATTGATCTGGATTTACTTTTTCAATCCCAATTAAATTTTGTATACCGCTATGAGGTCCCCTCTGTCTTGTCTTCTCTCAAGGCTCAATATGCTGTATATTCCACAGACCTGAAGTTAATCAGCGGCTTGGGAACGGAGACTAGTGAGGAAGGATACACGGATTTCTGTCTGCTTTCAATAGACATGTGTAACAAACTGAGAGATGGGCAGCCACTTGTTACTAGTTTTTATTTCTGTCATTTTATATACAGCACAAACAGATCAAATCATTGTACAGTATGGGTTTCCCTACAAAGACCTGTTACTCCCATGTTTTTTTTCTACAGAGTACTGACCAACAACTGGAACATGTGGAAGAATGACGATAATTGTATTTAGAAGTACTTCATTGCCTTCAAAAGAAGTGTTTAAGCGCTCGGCGTGACGATGGGAAGATGCATCTCTGACAGCTTCCTTCAGCTCCTCCGTAGTCTCATATCATTGTTTTATAATAGGGGGGAAGAGGACTTTGTGGACACTCCGCGCACGGCACAAACACGATTCAACACTAACGCAAGATTCCATCAACACAGTGCCCCATGATATAGTACAGTACAAGATCACACAAGTGAAGAAAGCCCTTCAGACCAATTCATCTTATACTTCACCCCGCCATCTTCCAATTAGAGCATCCAACATTTTTCTTAAAAGAGTCCAGCTACAATCATTCTTCCTGGTAACATAACCCATTCCAACTAGTAAGTGAATAGTAAGTGCACTTCAATTGTTCGCATCTTTGAAACCCGTGCCGTCTTGGATTTGTTACATTGGACTATCTGTAAGCATTGTTTTGCACACACAAGCCCTTTCAGCATCTCTAACAGGTCCTCTCTGCAATGGCTGTTTGTGGATGGAGAGCCCTGTCTTGCAATAACAATCCTTGTATTTGTTATAGCGCCTTATCACGTCTTTGAGACGTCTCATCTTATTCTTATTGTGCGTCACAGCTCATAGACTCACAGTGTGAAAATATATATTTTTGTGGGGGTGGGGGCGGTCAGCTAGGTGTCCGACACATGCAGAAACTTAACTTATCCAAACAGAATGAGAACCCAGTCACCAAAGTTGCCACGAGTCTTGCTGAATGAAACTTCTACCCGACAGAAAACAAAGGCACGATGGAGCACAAAAGGCATTAATAAGCTATTTGCATCAGTGTTTACAGAAGATCAGAGATGGGGAAGTGCTGAGAGAGATGCAGTTTGATGTGGAGGAACAAGTGTTAGATATAGAATCCATAAGAGGTACACGGAAGGTGGATGGAATTTCAAATGGATGGTTTTGTCTCCGATTGCTCAGGGAGGTTTAAGGCCAAGTTGTGGAAGCTTTATCTGAGACTGTTCAGAAGTCCTTAAAAATAGGAAATGTTCCAAGGGATTGGAAGGTGGGTGTCCTTGGAACTGTAGTAGGAACATAAAATCCGAACCGTGTCAGGCAGGGAAGAAAGGGAGAGATTAGAGCAACAATAAAAACAATTTGCATTTACATTAAACCTTTCAAGTCGGGAAGACATCCCAAGGTGCTGGATAGTGAAGGGTTTGCACCTGAGCTCGAGTTTGGAGTCAAGAGGGATGGGGGGGCAAGAGGAGATGGAGGTGAGAGGATGACCGAAGGCACAGTCAAAAAGGAAGGTCTTGAAGGAGGCAAGGGAGGGGGGTGCAAGGTAGTGGGATGGAGTTCCAGAGGGTGGGGGCAGAAAGGCTGAAGGCCTGATCACCTATGGTGGAGTGGGCAGGGAGGGGGACATGGAACAGGCCAGTGCCCGCCGAGCGGAGGGAGCAGAGCGCGCAGGTTGGTAACGTAAAGCAGGAAAGTTGGCAGAAAAAGAAGAAAGTGAAAAAAGATTCCAGCACCCAATGAACACCTCAGAAATCTCAGGAAAGAGACATTTGATGGGAGATTCGGTGATTAATCCAAGGAGCGAGCCAGAAGAATGTCCTCATCAATCTCCTCTGGCTCCTCGTCTGTCACTGAGTCGATTTCATTCTTTTTCCTGAGTAGAATGGCACCTGTATCCTCACTGTCTATCTCGCTCTCCTGGCCCAGTTCCCGGGGATAGTAATTTTTAGCCTTCATCATAAAGTCCTGTGCAATGTCCAGTATGATCAACCGATCCTGAACAGACAGAGAGAAACAATCCTGATTTACTTTATAATAACAATAATAATCCTTGGGTTTGATACAGCGCCTTATCATGTCTTCGACGCGTCTCAAAGCGCTTCATGGAATACACTGTAAAGTGAATTGACGTATATTTTGTGGGCGAAACGCGGCAGCCAATTGCGAACAGCAGTGTCCCCCACAAACAGTCGTGGATCGAAGTGACCAATTTTGGATCCAACTTTGATTCCAAGTCTCGACATGGGGCTTGAACCCACAAACCTCTGACTCGGAGGCGAGTGCGCTACCCCACTGTCACAATTTGGACAGACCAGAACAAAGATGTATCTCTCCGCAGGCATCTTGTTGTCGAATATAGAGGTGTCCTGAGAGAGTAGTTCCAGCAGGTGCTTTGCCTCTGTAGGGTTCCGCAAGTTGTTGTAGGAGGTGGTGGACGTGACAGTCAGCAGGGAATCCGCTTCCTTGTGAAATCCTGCACACACAGAGAGAGAGAGACAAAGTTCCACGCTGAGAGCGAGTGTATCAAACAGACACTTGCACACGCAAACACACGCACCCACACCCATATATGGCTCCCCTCTCGCTCTCACACCACATCAACAATGGAAACACCGCTATACGTCGTAAAGTGGGTGAGAAGTCACGCAGGGAGTGAGGGGTGAGCAAGGGCTGAGGGAGGGGTGAGGGAAGTATAGTAATAATAATAAGCCTTGCATTTGACACAGCGCCGTATCACGTCTTTGAGACGTCTCAAAGGGCTTCACAGAATACATTGTAAAGTGGATTGACTGTATGGTTTGTGGGTAGAGGAGGATGGAGTGAGTGTGATTGAAAGTGGGGGAAGAGAGTCGGGGGAGTGAGTGAGGGAGGGAATGAGGGAGGGAGATGGAACCACACCTCACAGCTTACCTAGGACTTCCAAGATCATCTTCCATTTGCCCAGGACGTCTCTGCGTACTTGCCGGACGGAGTGGATGTCGAAACTGAGCCTGCGGTAACCCTGGGAGGCAAAGAACCTTCACTTGCTCAGAACAACCAGCTCAGCGGCCTGTGTCTAGGTCTGTGTGCGTGAGTCAGAACATCCAACACGTGTGTGGTGTATTGGTGTGCGTGGGTATGTATGTGTGTGAGGAGTGCCCTGGGATGTCTTTCTGGCGTGAAGGGCGCTACACAAGTGTAATTTGTTGTTATAGTTGTTGTTGAGAGAGACCAGCGACTCAGTAGCTGAGAGATGTCACATTAGCCATTAGAGATGGCGTAAGAGTCCCAGTGTGCAGGACAGCACCGAGGTTATAGAAAGCCGCAGGGAAAAAAGATCAATCAAGAATTGGCTGAAGGTAAAGCGAGATAGTTGGAGGACATCCGACACAGGGAAGATAATAAATTTAATCCTTTAATACAGCGCTTTATCATGTCCTTGAAACACAGACAGTGTGGGGCTCTCGATATTGATTGCTAAAAAAAANTTCTTTAGTCGTGTTTATAACAGGGAGGGGGTGGATTACAGAGCCCTGCCGTTGTCTCTATTAATGTCATATTTATAACAGGAAATCCCACTTAAAAGATCTCTTCTGGTAACCATGAGCCAACAACGCAAAGGCAGAGTTTCAACACAGTGGAACTGAAAAAGCAACGATTCATAATAGGACTCATAAATAGCGACTCCGAGTCTGTGTGTGTCAGTCACATGTAGATTACTTCATTGACTCTGCCCTGTGTACAGTGCTACAGTTTTCTGTATCATCTGGGATGCTGTGGGTGTTCAGGGAGGATGAAAACAGGTCTGTGTGCATTGTTTGTTCTGCCTCAATTCGGACACTGAACACGTGGAACTCTATAATAACAACCCTTATATAGTAATAATCCTTGCATTTGATGTAGCGCCTTGTCATTTCATTGGGACGTCTCAAAGCGCTTCACGGAGTATATTGTGAAGTGGATTGATGGAGCATTGTGTGGGCAAAATGCGGCAGCCAATTACACACAGCAATGTCCCACAAACAGTCATGGATTGAGTAACCACAGTTAATTTTGAAGGGATCATTACCCCCAGATCCACCAATCGACTAACAACCGGGGTTCCTACTTACTGCTAGGTAAACAGAGGCGTGTGTGTGGAATAAGGAAACTTGCCTAAGGTTTCGCCCTGCCCGGGAATCGAACCCAGATCCTCTCGCTTGCAAGGCGAGCCTGCTAACCACTACGCTTTAACCACGGATCACAATCCAGGCTGACCTGAGAACCTCGGCGTGTTTTGGCCCGTTTCTGGAGCAGGTTATACAGCTCCCTATCATCGTCTCTCTCCGTGTGGGACGTGTCCTGGGGCTCGCTCCACAGGTTGGCTTCCTCAGCTCTGCGACGCTTGGCTTCCCGGCCAAAGTACAGCAAAGTTTCACTGACAGGACACAAGCCACAGTCACTTCTGCTGCCCCTGTACCTCTCTTGTGTAACTGCTTTTGTGTCTGACACATCAATCCCCCTGGAAGATCTAATCACTCAGTCACATCCCTTCCTGGCATGTTTGCGAAACACCCACAACCCAATCCCATACACGCACCCCAATTCCATATTCCAATCCCAATGTCAAATCCACACCCTTATCCCAGACCCCAACCCCTTGCCCATACCCCATACCGACATCAACCTCATATGCATATCCCAATCCCATATGCAGACCTCAAATCAATATCACACCTAGTCCGGCTTCCATTAGGCTCTAAACAGCAGTATTTCAGATGGACTCAGTCAAGTTTGACTGTAATCCTTTCACAGAGCAGAGTGAGTACTGAGAATGTACCTGATGATCGGAGTCTTCTCTTCTGGTTCCTGTTCTCCACAGGAACAACAGCACATTTGATAAAACACATTCTTACCATCCATCACCCTAAGCTTACCACCACGCCACGCAGCAGAGGCAAACAGATACCCAGCAGAGGCTGGTTGGCAAGCACAGTACCCACAGAGGAAGGATATCAGGAAGCACTGGTGCTAGGTTGGTAATCGACTGAGAGAGCGTATTTACGCAATCAGCCTTGTTTTTTTTTAATAAAACATTAGATGTGCTCGTTGCATGAATATCTTCCTTTGAGGAGGTAGAGTCATGGTAGGTCATGTGAAGACTGCTGCAGCTCTGTACCCTCAAGCTAAACAGAAGAAACACAAACTGCATTGAAAGATCTTGTTAAAAAAAAAACATCTGAACAAATAGACTTTAATAACTAGAATACAACTGGAAAACATGAGGGTCGGAGTGCCATTAACTCTTTGAGTGTGATGGGATTGAGCGATTTTAGGTTTTACACGTTTGTACTCAGTGATGTACTGGGTGTAAAAGTCTGTCAGCCCTTCACACATCATGGGCAATTTCTTGGTTTCATTTGTTCCTACATCACCAGAGTAGCTGCTTAGCAGCTGGTAGACTCTAGCAGTTACCCCATTACATACCCTGAGCTCTCCCCAAGCTTTGGCTCTTGCCAACCTGTACCTAACACTTTCCGGAATTTGGTAAGCAGGATTCAGGGAGAGAGAGCGCATTCCATTCCAACAACTTATCTCTGGGATTTCCATGTGTCGGTGGGATGTATGGAATTCTCAGTTTGGTTTGGAGACTCTTAAGCACGGTGATGAATTTTCCGCATGTGCCAGACAACCGGCTGACAAATAACCCTCCGAGTATCCTGACTGACAATCTCCCAGATAAAATTGGTAATTCCTTTTTATGGCTATTTTGGACAAAGCTGTGTACAAATTAGCTGCTGTGTTTGCCTACAAACACAGAGTCGCTACTAGTTTATGGACCACTGTGCAGGGACTTATGATCCCTGTAGATTGGCATACGATCCCTCTGCACTGATGCAATTTGAACTGGTCTGCTCCTTGCACGGATTAAAAGGTTGGGTGCAGAAGATGAAAGGTTGTAGATTTGATCTAATGTCGCTAATCCTAGGTGGATCTTAGGTAATACCAGTCCCTGAAAATGAGGATTTATAGCCTAACAAGTCTATTCTTGATTGATCTTAATCCTCCTTCCCACTTACTCACCATATTCACTTCCTCCAGAAACAAACCTGGTTGACCCTTGAACCAATTTCCATTTACATTAATGCCCTTGATTCTGTATGACTAGTGTCCTTTGTGCAAATACTTTACTGTTCTTCTGATCAAATCTCCCATTGACTGTTGATTTATATTGTGTGTCCCTTTCTCTCTGAACTGTTTTCTGGATCAACAGGACCATTCTATTCCTCTGCCGCGCTCAACTAATATTTCATATTCCGCGTCACTGTTTCCATATTAATGATTTTAGATTTGCCAACATTGAACCTTGCCTTTGCCATTCATATTGATTGAGGTTCTGGAAAGATTCAAATCATTTGAATCCGATCGCATTGTTCCTTGTTATTTGCTTCACAAACAGGCTCAGGGCCATACATAAGTTCATCTCATGCATCATCCATTTGGAGGATCTATCCTATTATAACCATTCCCATTCTTTGCTGCTCTCTCATTTTCGAATTCCTTCATGCCCTCGCACCTCCCTACCTTTCCGACTTGCTCACCCTCCAAGTCTACCACCCACTGCCTCCGCTCAACCGGCTCCGGACTCGGTAATAATCCTTCAAGAAAAAAACAATAATAAATTGGTCATTTCAATCCACGACTGTTTGTGGGACGCTGCTGTGCGCAATTGGCCGCCGCGTTTCGCCCACAAATATACAGTCAATTCACTTTACAGTCTATTCTGTAATGCGCTGTGAGACGTCAAGAAGACGCGAAAAACGCTATATCAAATGCAAGGATTATTATTATTATTCCCCTGGCTCGGGCTCAGATTCCGCCACTGTTTAGCGCTCTGAGAAGCTACCCGATGTGAAGGCCGCTATATAAATGCAAGTTGTTGTTGCTCCAACCACAAGACCTCATCACTTGTTCCCGGTAACTTTATCCCCTCTGAAACACCACAGACAGTGTCTCTACGATTGGATTCAGTAGCCTCTATCTGCTGGCTGTATAATTTTGCGTCCTATTTTTAATCTTACTATCTCGGCCTATTTTTAATCTTATCTTCTCTCCTATTTTTAAGTTGTATTCATTAATTCTCCTCCTCCTCCTACTACTACTTTGAAATGCTGCCTGTTTTTCTCTTGCAACGCTCATTAAATCTTGCTTTGCTGGGTGAATTTTGATTGTAGTTCAACATTTCTGCTTACAGTTCTAGCTCACTATCGCTAATTTATTCCACGCTCCCTCAGTCGCTAGTCTTACTCATCCCAGTGAATTGCCATCACATTCAACCAAAAACCTGCTTCGTGCTAGAAGCTAGATTTTCTCACGTAAAAGGTTAAGAGTGGCAATCTGGAACTCTCTCCCCCAAAAGGCTGTGGATTATGCCTGGATCCATTCAAATTTTCAAGGCGGAGGTGGATAGATTTTTGTTAGATCGGGGTATCAAGGGATATGGGGCAAAGGTGGGTAATTTGAGTTGATGTATAGATCAGCCATGATCTGATAGAATGGTGGAACAGGCTCGAGAGGCTGAATGGCCTCCACCTGTGCCTACGTAACTGTTTTGCAGATGGGCTGAAGGAAACTCCTCTGCTGATGAACCATGTGATACATCAGTGATAGACCACCAACCTAACCTCGATATCTGGGTTAACAATACACACTGTGCATTGCTTGCACTCAGCAGCAACACATTGCACTTGTTTTATGATGTTTGTAAATCATCCACCTTCAGTCCTCCTGGTGCCATATCTTTGCTACCGCGTTTTGGATGAACCTTTGCAACCAATGCGCAGGAGTGCATCCCTGCCATTCAAGCTCGGAACTGAAGCCACTCTTAACACGGAGCGCTTAGGGGCAGAGGCAGGCAATCAGCAACTCAGAAACAAACTACAACTGAATTTCTGTGTGCTCAAATCTGTGCGTTTTTTCAGCATCACTAATTCTCTCTGTAGGGAGATAGAATGGAGTCCTGTAGCGCAGTGGTTGGCGCAATCACCCCGCAAGAGGACCCGGGTTCAATTCCCGGGCAAGCCGAAACCTTAGGTGAGTTTCCTTACGCCACACGCCTCTGCTTACTCAGCACGAGCTGAATAGGAACCTTGGCAGCTGCATTTCACAAACAAAATATAGTCAATACACTTTACAATGTATTCTGCGAAGCACTTTGAGATGTCTCGACGACGTGATGAGGCACTGTACCAAATGCGAGGATTATTATTATTATAGTCTTGAACATAGAGATCTGCTAGGACCTGAAATATCGCTGTGCATTGTGTGAGGACCTTTGAAACCATTTCCCTCACATTTCCCTTCACTTCCAAATAGCAGGAATGGGACGGACAATTTTAAAAAACCCAGGGCAGTGGCCTGATATTAAGGTCTGTTTCCGTTTCCCCTCGTGTGCTGTGCTGACCTTATTTTGGTATCAGACACGTGGGAAACGAGTACCGGAAAGCCCAGTGTTTGGGAACGTGAAAGGAGAAAAGGTATTGCAACTCCACGTTTCCATCTCTTCAGCTTTTAATGGAAAAGTGACAAAACAGAAAGTGCTGTTCCCTGAGCCTCACACACAGCACAGCACTGCGGGTCATCAGGGAATTCTCAGGAAAAATACAGCTATGTTGTCAAGTCTCCTCACGAGGCTTTACTGCTCAGAATCCTAACCACAGCCTAAATAATGCAAACTCTGTTCCACGGCTTTACCACTTTCCTGAGCTGTTATTTACAGCGAGTCAGTTGATTGGAGCGGACATGTGATTCTAACCTTTTCCACTCGTCTTTTTAACACTTCTAACGATATAACGGTAACAACCCTTTGCATTTGATACAGTGCCTTATCGCGTCTTCGGGACGTCTCAAAGCGCTTCACAGACTACACTGCAAAGTGAATTGACTGTATGTTTTGCTCCTTTTCACCAGAGCTGAGGTGAAAAGCTTGTGATCTGTGACACCATAAGCGTTGCTTAGGAAGAAAGTGTTTCACTTGAGATGCTCTCTGTTTCTCTCTTGATGACATTCGGATAGCAACATCTGTACAGTCATTTAAAGGCCAGACTGCTGGTCAGTTAATGTCCTACCTATTTCCCCTCCGTTTCCATAACATTCAGTTAGTTTGTTACCCAGAAACTTAATGTCAGAAACCGTATGAGAGTTGCTCAAAGGATACCAGCGAGGCAGGTTTTTAAATCAATTGCAGTCAGTGTTTTATTTGGTTAAGGAGAGCATTAACTCAATACCTGGTGATAGAGGCAGCTTCTGCCCTTGGTTGGTTCCTGTGCGCTTTGGACACTTCACAGAGATAGTGCAAGCAGAAAACTAAATGTTCCTTTTCCACCTCATCCAACATTTCTCCCTGAAAAACAGCAATCGCAGACAAGCCGAGGGACTCAGGTTTGTTCTCCCAACACACACACACCCCTGACTTAGGAGCAGTGTGCTGGGCTGAGGAAATAAGCAAGGGATGCTCACCAAATTAAAATATTTATTCCAGTGTTGAATTCAAACAATAATCTTACACTTTGATCTGAAATGTGTTGGTCACAGTTTTACACGCTAACGTGAGGACAGAAACCTCAAAACCCTTGTGTTAAGCTTCATACTCATCTTTGCCCGCAGCAGTCGCAGAAACATTAGTCGCGGCACAATCAGTCACATACAAATGGCCTCAGTGTCCCTGAGCTACGACGATGGAGAGCGCAAGAGAGAGAGGGAGAGAGAGAAAAAAAAAAAAATCGACCAGGGTTCCGACTGCTGATCACTGTCCCTGTGCTCGTCTGCTCGAAACTCCAAGTGCGTTGCAAGGGCAGGGACGTGATAACACTGGGTGTGTGTGTGTCTGTGTGTGCGTGTGTGTGTATGTGTGTGTGTGTATCCGTCTGTGTGCGCGTGTGTTTCTCTGTAGTTGCCTGGCTGGTGTTTACCAAGCTCTCTCCAGTGCAAGTGAAGAGCCCTCAGCCGAGGAGCCGGGGGTGAGAGGGGACTATTTCCGGGTGGACTTCCTTCCAAAATGAAGACTGCGTTTGTTGAGGAAACAACGGTCATTGCCCACAGCTGCGATCACGTTGTCCTGAGCGCTTATTTTGCTTTGATTGCCATTTTTTTCCAGCCCTGAATAAATCACATTACTCACCTCCAGTGTCCTGTATTGTGCTCAGTGAATCTTCACTGAACGTATTCCCTGTGAGTCACTTGGTACGATCTTCCCCCTCCCAAACTCACCTCACACCCCCCCCACAGGGTGATTAATACATGATTCTCTGCCCCCCCCACCCTCCCCATTACCTCTGAAATGCAAGGAGCTGTCAGGGACAGATAGACGGACAGAAGCAGAATTTCCTTCGCACCTTACACTCATTGATGCTCGGAGAATCCAGTGGAACAAGAATCGTTACAAAAATCAGGTTGCAATTAGTGCAAAAATCAGTTTGTTTCTTTTTACCCCCCCCCCCCACAAAAAACAAAACAAAATGTTTGTGTTACTGGTTACTGGTTGAGGTGACGTCGCAGCAAACTGCCAATCAGCTCTGCGGTGGGAGACTGTACTTGGCATCTTCCCGCTGCCAACGCAGGTCACGCACCCACTGCCCGCTCAAATGTCCAGTGCAGTGCGCATCTCGCTGACCTCCCGATGCCCCTCAGTGCCCGGGTTGCCACACTTCTCGCTGACTTCCCGATGCCCCTCAGTACCCGGCGCCACGCACGTCCGTGATCCGCTTCCGCAGGTGTGACACAAACTCGAACATGGTAGCAGCCAAACTCTGGTGAATTAGGTATTTTGGCAAACGTCCCTGTAAAACAACAGCAACCAATTAATAATAATGATAATTATATAATCCGTGCGTTTGCCATAGCACGTGGTTAAGACGTCTCAAAGCGCTTCACTGGATATACTGTAAAGTGTAGTGACTGTATTTTTGTGGGCGAAACGCGGCAGCCAATAGGAGAGATAGGCGGTGACTGTAGAAGGTCACAAGGACCTGGGCACAGTCTGCATTCCAACAGAAGCAGGTAATGTGTTTTACTCCAGGCAACAAAAATACACCTTAAACCCAAAGTGACGTCTATTAAACCCAAAGCGAGTTGACGTCAAGCTTTGAGTCTCGTGCTAAAGTCGTGGTAGACGATCGTGAGACAATGGAAGGTCTGACCAAACATCCGTGGGGTGATTCCTTCACTAGTGATACACTGATGCACACACCTCTCTCTGCCGGCAACTGCTCTGCAGCGCTAACCATCGCAGGTTCACTTAGGGCTGTTTGCCCCCCTCCCCCCCCAGGTGGGGTGAGGGGGGCGATGTGTGGGGAAGGGGGGGGGGAGGAGTGGAAATACCACCAGATGTAGTTTTATATTCACTGCGCTCTAAGCAACGACCTCTCCCTCCCATTCCAAACACCCATCACTGCCCACTCAGACAGACAGTCGGTAACTCCCCAATCACTTGCCTTCAGGTCTGTGTTCAGGACCCAGATAAATGTACAGACGTGTGGGTTACGGAGACTCTTGAGCACTACGAACCCTCCAGGCCCATTCTCGCCCCTGCAAGACAGTTCAACGGCATCAGCGATGGATTGATGGTAAGCGCAGGTGAGAGTTGCTGCTCTCAACAGTGATTGTCCTGAAGGCAAGACAGGACGAGAGCGCCGCTTTCTGGATGCTAAAGGCATTTCAGCCATGATCACCAACGCAACTTACTTTTAAGAATAACGACTCGCCTTTGATACAGCGTCTGATCTTATCACATCTTTGAGACGCTTCAAAGCGCTTCACAGGATACACTGTAAAGCGAATCGACAGTCTTGTTTTGCGGGCGAAACGTGGCAGCCAACTGCGCACAGCCGCGTCCCCGCACAAACAGCCATGGACTGAAATGACCAATATATATATTTTTTTTGTCTGAAGGAATTATTACCCCCGGAAAAGCGATCCGCCGATCGACTAACAGCCGGGTTCCTACTTACTGACAGCTAAACAGAGGCGTGTGGAGTAAGGAAAGTTGTCCAACATTTCGCCCTGCCGGGAATCGAACCCAGGTCTCTCACTTGCGAGTGATTTTCCAGTTGTACCTGACGTATTTGTTGAGCGGAGGTTTTGAGCCGTGCGTGCTTGATATTCCGGAGGAGATGTACATTTCCTTCTTCCTTTCAATGCGCCTCACGTTCACAAAGTCCCTGCACGGAGAGAACAGCTCAGTGTTACTACAGCCCAGGCGTCCTCAGTAGAACCCAACAACAACTTGCATTTATATTGTGCCTTTCACATCAGGAGTAAGTCCCAGGGCACTGGAACCCAATTATAATAATACTAATAATAATCCTTGCATTTGATGTAGCGCCTTATCATGTCTTCGAGACGTCTCAAAGCGCTTCACAGAATACACTACAAAGTGTAGTGACTGTAAATTTTGTGGAACAGCGGAAACTCAAGTAGCAAAAAGACGGCACAATAAAGCCCTCCTCTGCTGGGCTGATCTCCACTGCAATGACACCACAGCAAAACTATGGTTACAGAATCCGGCAGTGAATCACACAACCACTCTGATACATACATGTCTCACTCACTGGCAAACCAGGCTAGACCTCAGCTCCCTGCAATATGCAGCCCACAACCCTACCCACACCTGTGTCCAGTCTGATGTTCCTTTGACCTGGAGCAGGAGCAGGCAAGTGTTAGCCCAGGTGAAGAACACTTGGTTCTGGGTTGGGGCTGTCACTAGCATGAACGGTCAGCACGGCCCAGGAAGGCTGCTGCACCCCACTCTATACAGCTCACCCCAGCCCCCGCTCAGGTACAGCCACCGTGAGCCAGGCTGCCTCCGACTCCAGTAAAAACCTCTTATATTCTGACCTGGGGGAAACCACCCCTCCAGCGGCTCCTGCAGCGACATCGTAAGTGATCAGAGTGTTGTCGTCGATCCTCTGTATCACCTGCGGAACCACAATAATAATACTAATACTAATAATAATCCTTGCATTCGATACAGCGCCTTATCACACCAAAGCGCTTCACAGGGTACACTGTAAAGTGAATCGACTGTATATTTTGTGGGCAAAACATGGCAGCCAATTGCGCACAGCAGCGTCTCACAAACAGTGGGTGGATTGAGTGACTAGAACTTTATTTCATAAATTTATTATTAGTTATGTTTGAACAAACACAGCCTCCGGACCCGTGGGGGGGAAAGAGTGGAAGTGGGGGGAGACAGGAAGGGGGGGAAGAGAGACACTCTGAGCGACGTACCTGACAGACTGCAATTGTTTTGTTCCAGATAACTAGTTTCTCCGGTTGCAGGATTACCTCTTGGTATATGAGCTCAGCCGAGCACTGCAGAAACGCCTGCAAGAAGCACACATTCCACCAATGACACTGGACATACCCCGAGACACCACAACACAGGGCACCCTTCCCCTCACAGCAACCACTGCAACTCCCACTGTAAGCATGTGCGAGCATGCACACACGCACACACACGCGCGCGCACACGCGCACACCAGCGACACTGAGTCAGTGAGTCCCGTAGCTTAGTGGTTAGAGCGCTCGTCTCGCAAGCGACACCACCCGGGTTCGATTCCCAGACAGTCTCCTTACTCCAGACGCCTCTGTTTGCCTAGCAATAAGCCAAAACCCAATCATCAGTCGATCGGCGGATTATTATTATTAATATTATCCTGCAAAGTCCGTAAACACAGTTCCCAGGAACAGTGATTTTTGAGGGTAAAGAATGCATTGATAAATCATATTTATAGAGTTTTAAAATAATCTCTATCTTGTGACAAGTCATAAGAGAGGAGGTCGATAGAAGAAGCCCATTTGATCTCATCCTTCATCACAGCGTCAAACAGTTTAAGAAACCAGTGTCTTGGTCTCAACCAATAAACCCCAACATCCTGTTTGCCTTTTTATTGCTGCTTCATTAGTGAGCGATGATGAGTCAACTAACACACCCAAAAGGTCTCTTTCAACTACACATTCTTATCCCTTGGAAAGTTCAGTCACATTAATGGAATGCATGGGCCTCTTATTTTGACTTCGGTCCCCAATGCATTGCAATTAGAAACAGAATTTTACAGAACAGACAAACGCCATTCATCCCAGAGTGTGTGCTGACTCTCTCTCTGTTCCGCTCCCCTTGCACTTTCAAAGTTTTCTTTTTTTTCTTATTTTGCCTAATTCCCTTTTGACAAGCTCTTATGGCTTCTGCCTCAATCAACATTTTTGGTCGGGCATACCATGAACTTGGTAAGGATCTTAAATTCATGCCAACTATCTGACACTTATCTGTCCTGAACTTCATTCGCCTACGATCAGTCCAACCGGATGGAATGATCGTATACAGGCTATTCGCTGCACCACTGCTCTCTCAACACCTGATGCTTTCTATTGTATTAAATTCTATTTACACGAGGCTCTATAGCGCACTCTCCATGCTTACCTTCAAAATAAACGTTTTGCCGTGATAGGGTATTTCATATGTGTAAACAGCATCACCGATGTCCTGCAAGAAACATGATTCAGGTGACTGCAACAATTAAAATACTCTGTCTCTAACTCTCTGGTTCAATAATCCAAGAGGCATCCTCAGCTCTCCTCGACGCCTTTCACACTGTCCTTGACCAAGTCCGATTTCCTCCCAACCACCCCCCCACCCTCCCAACACACAACGTGGCCAATAACCTCGTCACAATTTCATCACCCCAATAACATCCTCACTGTCCTTCCTAGTTCGATCCTCCAAGATCTGTGAAGCCCTCAGTCTCACCCTTACCAGGCTCTGTGAGCACATCAACCCTGTACAAATGCTATTGATAGTGTTTGGCTATTAATCAATAACAAGTACAGATTTGCGCCCACACAGTAATCACACGTTAAAGTAAACCTTGTGATTTGCTTTGAGAAACACCCTCCTGAAGTGAAAGGTTATTTCTCTCCAACTTACTAAGTTTCCCTCTGCTCATCGCACACACTCCTGCTTCATCTCCCCCTGTCCTATGCACCCCACCTTCGGCAGGCATTCCCTTCATCTCCCTCCCTTGCTTCGTCTCAAGAACCTCCATTTCGACAGTGCATTTGGCCACCCCCCTACCCTCCCTTATTCCAACCTCCAATCCCCCTGCTCGGGTCAAAAAATTCCTGACTGTCCAGTGCCTTGGGACGTCCTCCTGACGTAAAAGGCGCTGTGTCAATGTAGTTTTGTATTGTGTGGTATTGTATCTTAGCCCTCCCATACCCCCAGCTTGGGTGTCCTGTCAACACATTGTGTCTTCGCGATGTGAAAGCCTCTGTATGAATGTAAATGATATTGTATTGTCACGTCAACCAGATGAGGCTTTGCCTCAGGCTACTTACATTCTCCCTCTCCAGTCTCCAGTTCTCCTCCATGGTCAGGATGTGTTCCACCACCCCCATGGATTCCCGGCCCTGCCGCACATACTCCTTCTCCTACAGGCAGAGAAACAACTGTGATCCCTTTGGCCGTGAGGAAGTCTACAGCCCCCAGCAAACCAGGACAAAGTGAAACCTATGACAAAAGAGTCACTGACCCAGATATAACCTTACAGCCCAGAAGGAGGTCATTCGGCGCATCGTGCCTGTTCCTGGTCATTGAAACAGCTACCCAACTAGTCCCACTCACTCCCCTGCTCTTACCCCATAGCCCTGCACATTTTTCCAGGAAAGTAAAATGCAACACCAGTGAACAAGGAGTTTATCAAGAGTATGAAAGTAGCGGCTTTCAACCTGAAATCTCACAAGTGTAAAACTGGCGCTCAAGTCTCACCTGAGGCGTCACTGCTTTCCGCCCAGTCCCTTCTTCTTCTAACTCATCATCGGAGCCTGTGGAGAGAGAGAGAGCGAGAGAGACAGACAGTTACAGGGAGCACTGATCCCACATATAATATAGTTTACATTTATATAGCCACTTTCACACGGGAAGAATCAAGCAACAAGAAGTGCTTCTGCAATCCATTTTAATTTTGCCCACAAAATACACAGTCACTATAGTTTACGGTATATTCTGTGAAGCGCTTTGAGGAGTCTCAAAGATGTGATAAGGCGCTATATCAAATGCAAGTATTATTATTAGTAATAAACTGTAGCCAGAGCCACAATGACCGGTGTATGAAGGAGCTTAGAGCCGTATTGACCAATGTCAGACTATGCTTTAGGAACTCCCTTCAACCAACGGAACCACCAAGTTCTTAGGATGTAGCTTGTAAATTCACTGCTGTAACTGAGTGCTCATCTGCTTGTGTTCACACAGGGCTTCTCTCTCTCGCAGTGGTGACGTGAGACGCCTCAATAACACTGGGAGAGAGCCCCGACGGGCAGGAGAAATGGTGCGTGAAAGCTTCAACGATGGGATCTGCACACAAACCATTTGGAGTGACACAGAGCGCAGCTTAGTGGCAATCGCAGTCACAATCATGCATCATCACCCCGACTCACAGACTGATAACAATCACTCCGCAAAGTTCAGATACCTGCTAAGGATTCTGGTGGGGAGTAGAACTGTCCATCGGACACAGCCCTTGGGTGCAGAAGAGGTGCTTGCGGGAACGCCGCCTGTGCTGTCTGATACACTGTGAAACAATCAGGACACACACACACTCACACTGAGACACACGCCAGGCGGGAGCACGGCACGACACACCAGCCCTCTCGGTACTTAGGTGGACTACACGCCACAGTCAATCCACTTTACAGTATATTCTCTGAAGCTTTGAGACGTCGCGAAGACGTGATGAGGTGCTATATCTAATGCACGGATTATTATGATTATTATTACGATTAAAAATAAAATTTTACTTCAAACAGGAACAAGGTCTGTTTAAGTGGGTGTCACACAGGGACACAAGTGTGTTGACTTTAATCAGCTCCCAGTTCTCTTTCCCTCTCTCGCCCCCACCCCCCCTCCCTATGCTCTCCACACCCACTCGTTCCCTCCCCCACCTCTCTCTTCTCTCTCTATTTTTCCTCCCACCTCAATCACCTCACTCCCTTCCACTCCTTGGTGTTGATCAACGTCCATAGACAGGATCCCAATTCACCCAGTATTAAAAACCGGGGTTCTAAACCTGGAAGCAAACTTTCGCTGACCGATCAGAAAAGATCGAATAAAAGGCAAAAGAGGGAACGAGAAGGTGTTCAGATGAAAGATCATGGACCTGAAACTTTCACTCACTTTCCTCTCCCCATAGATGCTGCCTGACCCGCTAAGTGTTCCCGGCGACTTCTGTTTTTTATTTAGCAAAAGACTGAATGTTTGTCGTAGAATTAAAATGGAATAAAGGGCTTTACTCACGTCGCTCATCCTCTAACTCCTGAGTCAACACTTTGAAATCCAGAAACCAGGTCTCCAGCCAGGCCAGGACAAAGGAGACGATGGGAAGCACATACCCAAACGCTCCCCTAGTCTGGAACTGATGGCACACAGAATAATTTGTTGGACAGCACAATTACAAGGCAAGTTCTGGCTCAGTGATCCCAGTAGTGCTGGGAATCATTAACAATTGTAGAGACAGCCCCCTCCCCCAGAGCCAATAATGATGGGTAAAACAGAAGCGTGTGTGGAGTCAGGAAAGGTGCCTAAGGTTTCGCCCTGACCCGCCCGGGAATCAAACCCAGGTGCTTTCGCTTGCGAGCAGAGTTCGCTATCCACTACGCTATGGGACTCCACAACTCGAAGTTATAATCATGCCACAAACATAAATTGTCACCAATTGGTTGTCAGTAATAGGAAAATAATCCCGGGGATAGCGGGACCCAATAGCTGCAGGAACTGTCTCCCACTAAAGTCAGGACGACTTCTCGAATGCAATCCTTGGGCATCTCTCCCACCCAAGTGATTCCCACGTATTACATACAAACCAGGCTCTTACCTGAATGGACAGAATGACTTTTATAATTAAGAAGCTGCTGGTAACCAATGTTGTCACCTGGAAACAGAAATCACCAGAGAATAGACCACGTTAATTCCCCCGCCTTACACAACACAACTGTCTCTCTCTCTCTCGCTCTTCCCCCCCCCACCACCATACACAGACACACACATACCTTTCTCTCTACCCCACAGAACAAACCTCTCTTCCTCTTTCTTCCCCGCCTCACCCTCCACTTCATTTGTGACTGACACAGCTAGATTTGTGTATTGATAACCCCAGATCTCTTTGCTCCTTCACCCAATTAACGGGGGGGGGGGGGGGAGAGAGGGAGGAGTGTGAAACCAACAGGCTCCCTGCAGACAGGCTAGAGCACTAATCATCCTATAGTACATAGGTAGTTTGGAACATATGTACATGTAACTGCCAAGAAGGTGGAAGCGAACTAGATAGACCTTGGTCTTTTTTTCGTCGAGCATTTCTTATGTTCCTCCTGGAATGCTTACCGCTATCACCCACCAGTGACGCAGCCTCAGCAGGGCATAGGCAAACAACAGCACCAAGAAACGGAAGATGGCCAGCAACTGGAGGAGACGGAAAACATTAAAATGATTACTCAGAACAAAGTAACGCAGCGGGGACGGATGTGAGTGTATGCTAAACACAGAGCAATTCTGCCGCCCGTACATTCACTGGTTCTAAACTCTGTACCCTCATCGCTCTAGTCCTCGCCAGGCTCCTTTGGCTCTGCATCACAGAACCCATTGACTTCAAGATCCTCGTACTCATCTACAATCCCTTCATGCCCTGGCACCTCTCTAACTCTCCAATCTGCGTACTCCTCACTCAACCACCCACCGTCTCTGCTTGTCTGGCTCCAGCCTCCTGCTTGCGCCCTCCGCTCCACCATCGATAGCCGTACTTTCAGCCACTACACCCCGAAACGTTGGAACTCTCCCCTCCCTCAATCCCTCTGCCTTGTCCCCCTCTTTCCCTATTTTCAGATCACACCTTCCTCTTCGACCGTGCTTTCGGTCACCTCCACATAACTCGGTGTCAGACTCCCACCACTGTTTAACTCTCCAAGATGCTGATCCATGTGAAGGACGCTGTGTAAATGCAAGTTGTTATTGTTGTTTTTGTTCGGCTGCCAGATACTCACAAATATATCAAAGAACGATGTTTGAAACCTGTATTTCAGGATTTCATCCACCAGATTCTCTTTAATGCCTTCTTTTCCCTAGAAAAAACAAGCCTACTGTTAATGACCTCAAAGGCATTCTGTTACAAGAGAGTTAAAGACGGAGCAAGGATATCAGTCTGCAAACAGCCTGGATGCAGCGTTCTCCGGTTAAAGAGGCTTAGTGGTCACCAATGATTGCTACTGGAAGACCAGCACAGCTGGTGCATCGTTTATGTAGAGCTGCATTAGCAGGGCGAACCAGATAGAGTACAAACAACAAGAACAAAGTCACATTTGTATACAGCCTTTCACGTCAGGAGGACTTCCCAAGGCGCTGGACAATCAGTGTTTCGGACCCGAGCAGCGAGTCGGGATCGGGCAGGATAGAGGGTGGGAGGGGGGGGAGAAGGAGGGTGTCCGAAGGCACAGTCAAAGAGGAGGGTCTCAAGACGGGTCTTGAAAGAGACAACTGCACAATAAATAGGGAGAATGCAGACAAGTAGAAATGAACCCCAGACTGAAAGGGTGGGGGGAGCAGTTTAGTGTCCGACAACATTGGGATACTTTGTGGATTGCTCTCACATTGAAGCAACCATACTATTCTGTGAAAAACACAGAGCAGCCAAGAAGCAAAGACTCGATCTGCCCTTTTTCTCAGTGAATTAAATCGCTGAGCCTCTCACAAAACACTTACACACTGTTGAAGTGGATTGGTCACTTCAATCCACCACTGTTTGTGGGGACACTGCTGTGCGCAATTGGCTGCCACATTTTGCCCACAAAATATACAGTCAATTCACTTTACCGGGTATCCTGTGAAGCGCTTTAAGACTAATCGAAGATGTGATAAGACGCTATATCAAACACAAGGATTATTATTCTTACCCGAGACAACATTTCAACCCCGTCATGTACAGAGCTGAACAGCAAGCGAGTTACACAGTGAAGAACCTTCACACTGACTGAATCAACAACAGCAACTTTGCACATTCCCAGTCTCTCAGAAATCGTCAAGAGAAGCTACGACTCCAAGCAATGGAAGCTATCAGGATCGTATCTGGATTAACGGCTTACAATTGCAACCCTGATCCAGATCTAGATCTGAGAGTGTCGAAGGCCGTGACCTACCTTCTCTGGTGGAGGGTTAAGGGAGGGAGGGAACACTTACATTCAGCTCGATGATCCACAAGAGCGAAACAAACAGGAGGTCAAAAGTTACAAAAAGGCAGAAAGTTCTCCGGACATCCGAGATGCTTTTCTTTTTCTCTCCTAGGGCTGTGAAGTGACTGGGCATCCCCTGCTGGCTCCTGGAGTAGTAGGTATTGATCGAGGCGATGGCTGGGAGGCTTTGTTCTAGTCCATTTTCCGCATCTCCGAAGGCCTTGGGCATCCTGTCTGCTCCACCTCCGCCTCGGCTAAGGCTCAGCAGCCAAAGGGCACTGCAGGAAGACAGGAATAGCGGGATTTAGCGAGGAAGCACCAGCGGAGTAGGATTCCCCCGGGGGCCAGGATACAGGTGCATCAGCAGACCAGAGGTCATCGGCCAACTTCAAATCCCAAGAACATTGCAACTAAATTCAAATTATATCATGTGTCGCACAAAACCCTGGTGCATGCAAGCCCCCTATTCTAGCTCACTCACTCACACACACATACCCCCGGCACTCTCTCACCCCTGGCATTCGGAGTCCTGTAGCTCAGTGGTTAGAGCACTCGCTTTGCAAGCGAGAGACCCGAGTTCAATTCCAGCAGAGGGCGAAACCTCGGGCAAGTTTCCTTACTCCACACAGAGCCTAATAATAATACCTCCAAAACCAAAAACAATAATAAATTGGTCATTTTCAATCTACGACTGTTTGTGGGACATTGCTGTGCGCAATTGGCTGCCGCGTTCGCCCACAAATATACAGTCAATTCACTTTACAGTGTGTTCTGTGAAGCGCTTTGGGACGTCCTCCCGACGTGAAAAGCGCTATATCAAATGCAAGAATTATTATTATTATTCTCTCACCCCAGCACTCTCTGTCTCGCACACACACACATACCCCCGGCACTCTCTCACCCCGGCACTCTCTCTCCCCCTCACACACACTCACCCCCGGCACTCTCTCACCCCGGCACTCTCTCTCCCCCTCACACATACCCCCGGCACTCTCTCATCCCGGCACTCTCTCTCATATACACACACCCCTGGCACTCTCACACACACATTCTAATACTCCCACTCTCTCTTTGACACATTCACCTGGAATTCTCTCTCACACTCCGGATCTCTCACACACATACACCCAGCCACAAACCATCGCTCTCTCACGCACATACACCCAACCCTGGAACTCTATCTCTCTCTCACTCACAAACAGACACGCAAGGACACCTGCACCACTCACTATCGTCGAGAAAGCTCATGGTCCAAGCTCGGGACAAATGAACGAGTGCTATTTCAGCTTTGTTGGCCGCCTCTGGTGTTTAGGTGGTGTCTGGTGTGTCTACCCGTTCAGGGAGTTCTGAGTAAGTAACAGGAACTGAGAGTGCCTGACTAGAGATGAAACTGAAACTGACGAGAACACTGATCAGTAAATCTACAGCTCTCACGGAATATGCTGCAAAGTGAATTGACGGTATACTTTGCGGACGGAACAGACTCAAGGGCCTGAATGGCCTCCTTCCTGTTTCTATATTTTAATCGCTGGGGAGAGGTTACACAAACCACAGCACAGAAACAGACCATTCTGTCCAAGTCTGCTCGTGTTTTCCTACACATAGGAACACAGGAACAGGAGTAGGCCATTCAGCCCGTCGAGCCTGTTCCGCCATTTAATTAGATCATGGTTGATCTATACCTTCACTAAAATTTAAATCCAATTTCCCGCTTTCCTCTTAATACCCCGACCTACCAAAAATCTCTTTCTTGGAAGTGCGGATGGATCCAGCATCCACGACCTTTTGGTGGGGGGAGAGAGAGAGAGTTCCAGATTTCTACCACACTTTGAGTGAAAAAATGCTTCCTAATTTCACTCTTGAATAGCCTGGTTCTAATTTTAAGACCGTGGCCCCTGTTTTGCATTCCCCCAACGTTGGAAATGGCTTTTTCCCCGCATCGATCCTATCAAATCCCTTTATCATCCTAAAAACCTCTATCAAATCACTGCTTGCCAATGAGCCACCTCGTTTCGGGTGGGTCGTGCTTAAGAGTCTCCAAACCAATCTACTGAGTTTCGCATAAACGGGGGAATTTCCATTGGTTTGGATTGGAACGCTCGCTCTCTACCCAGAGGCAAAAACACCTAATCCTGGAAAGCATTAGGTTGGTGAGAGCCAAAGCTTGATGACCCCCCCCCCCACCCACCGTGTGTGCGTTAAGTGTACTGCTGTAGTTTAACCAGCTAAAACCACACAGATTGGCACTGTGAGCAACAACAACAAATTACATCTGTATAGCGCCTTTCGCCTCAGGAGGTAGTCTACCTGGCAAGCTTCCCGCCCGCTGCTTGCCAATCTCGGACCGCCTAGGTTACGTGCCCGTTAGGTTCGGGAATGCAGTAGTAACAGAAACCAAGCGGGAAGAATCCCTTTTCCCATCCGTGTCCCCCTAACAAGCCAAGCTCTTGAGCCATCACGGGCAGTGCCCTGGGCTACTGCTGACCCGCCCGCCCATGGCTCAGGAACTGACCGCCGAGACCACGACATTAGATCGACTCGATTATGATATTCCACGTGTGTGTGTGTGTGTATGTGTTTCTCTCTCTGTCTGAGTTTCTGTGTGTGTGTATATATATATGTGTGTGTGTGAGACTGTCTGTGTCTCTCTTTCTCTATCTGAGTCTCTGTGTGAATATACAGTCTGTCTGTCCTTCTGTCTGTGTCTCAGTGTGTGTGTCTCTCTGTGTCTCAATGTGTGTGTGTTTCTCTCTCTGACTGTGTGTCTCTCTGTGTCTCTCTGTCTGTGTGTGTTTCTCTCTCTGACTGTGTGTGTCTCAGTGTGTCTCTCTGTGTCTGTCTGTCTCTGTGTCTGTGTGTGTGTGTGTGTATCTCTCTGTCTGACTGTGTGTGTGTGTCTGTGTCTCATTGTCTGTGTCTCTCTCTGTCTGACTGTGTGTGCCTCTCTGTCTGTGTGTCTCTGTCTGTCTCTGTGTCTCTGTCTGTCTCTGTGTCTCTCTGTCTGTGTCTCAGTGTCTGTGTCTCTCTCTGTCTGTCTCTGTGTCTCAGTGTCTGTGTCTCTCTCTGTCTGTCTCTGTGTCTCAGTGTCTGTGTGTCTCTCTGTCTGTCTGTCTGTCTGTGTCTCAGTGTCTGTGTCTCTCAGTGTCTGTGTCTCTCTCTCTCTGTCTGTCTGTGTCTCAGTGTCTGTGTCTCTCTTTCTGTCTCTGTGTCTGTGTCTCTCTGTCTGTCTCTGTGTCTCAGTGTCTGTGTCTCTCTCTCTCTCTGTCTGTCTCTGTGTCTCAGTCTCCGCCGCGCTGTACAGTGAGGCCGGGCTCAGACCCCAGGGCCAGCCTCCAGGCCTCGGCCTTTCCTCCCACACTAACCCGGGGCCTCCGCTGGAGCCAGGCCCCAGACATGTCACGACATGACCTCCTCCCCTGACCTGACCTGACCTGCAGCGGCCGAGCGGCTTCAACGTACATTCGGCGCGGCCTTCATTCTCCCGACGCCAACCGTCCCACCGCTTCCTCCTTCCAACCCGGAACCCAAGTGCGGGGTCAGAGCGCCCCCCCCGGAGCCGGGACTTGGCTGTGAGGTGAATAGAGCGCTTTCAGGTGCCACCGTCCCCCCGGCTGACTTCCGCTCAGCCCAACTGACCTCACTTCCGGTCTCCACGCCTGCTGAGCCCCCTGGCAGCTCAATCATAAACCAGTAATAAACAGTAATAATTAGTAATAATGGTGAATATCGTTTGCTGGTAATGCACTGATAATGAATGATCACAATAAATAATAGTGGCAATAAATAATAATCTTAACGATAACCTTAGTCGTCATGAATAATAAATAATTAATCACAGTAATAATATATCATCATAATCATAATGGTCAATAATAATGATGATGATGATGGAGTATAATAATCCTCGCATTTGACACGGCTCCGTCTCACGTCTTCGAGACGTCTCGAAAGCGCTTCACGCTACAGGCTGTCAAGTGAATCGACTGCGTACTTTGTGGGCGAAAGGCGGCAGCCAATTGCGCACGGCAGCGTCCCACAAACAGTCGTCGATTGAAGCGACCAATTTATGATTATTATTTCATTATTCAGTTATTTATTTTCTTGGAAAGGATTATTACCCCCGGAAAAGCGATCCGCCAATCGATTAACAACCGGGTTCCTACGTTCTGTTAGGTCAACAGAGGCCATGTGGCGTAAGGAAACTTGCCCAACGTTTCAATAGTAGTCCTTACATTCGTTATAGCGTCTTATCACACGTCGAGAGGGCGTCCCAAAGCGCTTCACAGCACTGACTGTAAAGTGTAGTGACTGTGCAATAATAATAATTGTAATAATAATCCTGCCATTTGGTATAGTGCCTTATTACGTCTCAAAGCGTTTCACAGCATTTGAAGCGACTGCATATTTATAGTTAAGCACAGCAGCACAATTGCACACAGCAATGTCCCACAAACAACCATGAAATGAATGAGCATTGTATTTTGGGGGGTGGGAATTGTTGGACAGGACATTAGGAGAAACTCCCTTCTCTTTTTGAATAGCGCCATATGATCTTTAACGTCCATCTGAACTGGCAAACGGGACCACAATTTAATGTTTCACCCAATAATAGACTTATATTTTCAGAAATCGTATCAGAACAGTAAAACAAGAGGAGTTGCAAAGGGCATCTTTTTGTTCCCTCGTCACTAAATGAGACTGGATAATAATAATAATCCTTGTATTTGACACAGCACCTTATCACGTCTTTGAGATGTCTCAAAGCGCTTCACAGAATATACTGTTAAGTGAATTGACTGTAGATTTTGTGGGCGAAATGTCAGTTTTATACAAACACTCTCCAGTATAGAATTTTTCACTGAGACATAAGAGGGTCACGGATTAAAAATGACCAATTTATTATTGTTTTTGGTTTTGGAGGGATTATTATTAGGCTCTGTGTGGAGTAAGGAAACTTGCCCAAGGTTTCGCCCTCTGCCTGGGATTGAACTCAGGTCTCTCACTTGCAAAGCGAGTGCTCTAACTACTGAGCTACAGGACTCCCTGCATCGATTTTTCTTGGTCAGCTGGGTGTCTGACAAATGCAGAAAACTCATCACCAGGCTTAAGAGGATCGAAACCAAAACACAGCGTTCAATGTATTCCACCTACACATATAACATTCCTGTGCATTGGAATGGGATGCACATTCTCCTTTGCAAAGTCTGGATAACCCACTTATGCCACGGCGTCCAGAACACTATACAGCTTGAGTACGAATTCTAAAAATGTGAACTCAACTGATGTAGCAAAAAATACAGCACCCCGTTTGCCTGTTTTTTGCTGTCTCATACTGCTTCCACATGTGATCAATGAGTCAACTAGCATCCCGAGGCAAGCTTTGTCCCATGCATGGAGTTCATGTGTTTCCTATTCTTACTACATTTATTGGTATTGTATTGACTGCACAACCTTCATGAAGGTCAGGCATACAATTAGAAACCATGCTGCATTCAGATTAAAGCCGTATTTATTGACACACCGATTTGATAGAGCTTCACAGTAGAGTTAATATTTAACACTCTACAAACTATACTGGTCAGCAAAAATCTTCAGGGTTTTACTGTTTAGCTTGTGTTACAGGATCATTTCTACACATACACAGGGACCCCAGTCGCTGATACTCTAAAATATTACAGTAAGACACTGTCCAGGCACAGTATTTTCCGCACACTCTCTGTATCATGACCTCCGATCAATGAATTCCTGCTCTTAACTGTTTCCCAAATTTCTGGGATGCAAGCCTTTGAAATGGGCCCCAAGTCCTTACAAAATACTGTGAACTATGTATAGCGATGATCTGATCAAAGTGTTTAAAACAATGAAAGGAATTGACAAAGTAGATAGTGAATGACTCTTCCCTCTGGTAGTGGTATCCAAACCAAAGAGAGAGCATAATCCTTCAATTAGAGCTGAGACGGACGGATGGACAGGATATTAACAAATGTGCAGAAAATTAAAAGATTTGCCATGATCTAATGAACCAGGATGAGGGGACGACTTTGGGGGAGGGGGGAAACTTTCAGCCATTGAGGAATTTGGATATATTTTAACCAATGACATCTGGGGCTTTCAGCATCTCTGCCCCCACACTCTGGAGCTCTATCCCGCCATCCCTCCGCCTTTCTCTCTTGCCTCATTCAAGTCCTGTCTAAAGACCTTCCTCTTCGACCATGCCTTTGGCCACCCTCCCAACACCCCCTGCCCTCCTGAACCCAACTCTGGTCCAAAAACCCCCAATTGTTCAGCGCCCTGGGACTTCTTTCAAACATGAAGGGCTCTACGAAGTGTAATTTGTTGTTGTTCTTGTTGTTCATTGACTTACAAATGGTTAAAGGTGGTGGGGAGTGCTGTGAGGATGAGGGTGAGAGCAGATGTTTCTTGGCACAGAAAGGAATAAATGATAGATGGGGCAGCTGAAGAAATGTCAGGAACGAGGGGGGCTGAGAAATCCAATCAAATTCAAACATGGAATTTACAAAGCTTGTTGTTCGGGTTAACTACAGATGAGGATTAACAGGAGACTTGGAGCTGTTCAGACTGAACCTCAGGTCCTCCTGCTTATGGCTTCTGTCTGAGGCTGTCCGTCCCTATCCTCGGATGTCAGGCGTTCTGTAAAACAGGAGAGAAAGAAGTTACGCCCAGGCAGCAGATGTGGACCTGCACATTCAACTTTACCGAAGCTATTTATATTCTTGGGTAGGGCAAAACCTTAGGCAAGTTTCCTTATTCCCCACACCCACCTCTGTTTACCTAGCAGGAAGTAGGAACCCGGTTGCTAGTTGCTTGGCGGATCGCCTTCTGGGGGTAATAATCTCAACAAAATAAAATAATAAAATGTGGTCAATCAATCCACGACCGTTTGTGGGACGCTGCTGTATGCAATTGGCTGCCACTTTTCGCCCAGAAATGTACGGTCAATTCACTTTACAGCATATTCTGTGAAGCGTTTGAGACGTCGAGACATGAAAAGCGCTATATCGAATGCAAGGATTATTATTATTAATATTATTATTATTAATAATGCGCTCAGATACCTGGTTGTGAACAACTTCTCTTGAACTCCACTGATGGTTGCGGTTGTATAAACATTGACTCTTCCTGTGAGACGTGCTGCACCACCTCTTGCTGCTGGCTAGAGCCAGCGTGTACGAGCTCTGTAGACAATGACAGCTCGATCAGATAGAAAGAGGGTAATATATTATAATCCTTGCAATTGATATAGCGTCTTCTCACATCTTCGAGACGTCTCAAAGCCCTTCGCAGACTGTAAAGTGAATTGTATATTTTGTGGGCGAAATGCGGCAGCCAATTGTGCACAGCAGCGTCCCACAAACAGCCATGGATTGAAGTGGCCAGTTTATTATTATTATTTCTTTGGAGGGAATTATTATCCTCGGAAAAGCGATCCGCCAATCGACTAACAACCAGGTTCCTACTGACTGCTAGGTAAACAGAGGTGTGTGGAGTGAGGTAAACTTACCCAACATTTCGCCCTGTCGGGAATCAAACCCATGTCTCTCGCTTGCGAGGCGAGTGCTCTAACCACTAAGCAACTTGTGTGTGTGGGAAGTTTCCCTCACTCACTCACTCACTCACTCATTCATTATCTCCCTGTCGCATAGACTTACTCGATATCTAAATCCTATGTTTCTAAACTTGGCATTGTGAGTCACATTTCACATTTCAACACAGTTCAGCCAAGTGATATGAGCGCAGGCGTATGCTATGGATCCACTCTCCGACTATTCACACGCTGCTTATCCGCATCAGACTCCCACGCAGAACTGCGATAGAGAAGGGAGTTTCTGCTGGTGTCCTGGTCAATGATCGATCAAATAAAATTAGTCGCTCGCTTCTTGGCTGTTTGTGGGACAGTGAAATTAATGTGTTCAAATTGGCTGTCACGTTCACCCACAAAATACAATCCTTTCCCCCCCCACACAATCTTCCAATTTTCAGATTCCGCATTGAGTGTCAGCCCCACTGAAGACCCCCAAGTGGGGAAATTGGCCACTCAGAGTCCCACCCTCCCTCGGCCCCGCTCTCTCCTGATCCCAACCACCAGCTCGGTTGCGGATCCCTGAAATTTCTCAGCGCCTTGGGACGTCCTCCTATCGTAAAAGCCGCTTTACAAATGCAATGTGTTGTTGTTGTTGATGTGGTGAGCGTATCCCAGTGCAATCTGACAACCTGTGACGTTTACTGAACTGACCGGTTCTGAGCTGAGTGTCAGGGCTCTTGTCCGGGTATTGTGTCAGGGTCAGCGGCTCCTCCTCTGTGTCCAGTGGGGAAGAAATCCAGGAGTCTGAGTCTGAGGAGTCGGAGAGGCTGCTATCATCCGCGGTGTTGGGCCCAGCATCATCTGCTGATCTTTTTCCCTGACCCTCAGCTCTCAGCTGTGACTGGACAATATGCTGAACAGCTGCAAAACACAATCACGTGTCACATCAACACACGATTCATACGCAGAAATGCTCTTGTACCTACTCGCCCTCCTCCGTTTCCCCTTCGCCCCTCTCTTCCATTCCCCCAACCCCCTTTCCCTCCCTCAATCTCTTCTCTCTTCCTCCTCCGCCTCTTTCTCCTGCCTCCCACACAGTCTACTACACTGGCTGCATGTCACTGGTCAAAGTCTATCCGAGTAAATTGTGCCTGAAACAGCCGTGTCCCTGCTCAATGCTCCCTGTAAACCTTGATATTCAATGACAGAGCAAGAGGCTGCAGCAAGTGCAGACATCATGCTCCCTCCCTTAACGGTACGTTTTAATGCTGGGGAGCGAAGGGACAAGGCACAAGGACTCCGCAATGGAGTTCCATAGAGTAGAGGCAGAATGGCTAAAGGCTAATTGACAGGCAGGAGCTGAGCGAGTGTTTACTGAGCTGAGGAAGCAGCAGGAAGTGTTGGGAGGTCACAGAAGTAGGGCTAGGATGAAGAACTTGAATTCGATCTGCTAAGGCAGCTGGGGGAAGGGTGGGGGGGTTCCAACTGGTGGCCCGTGTGCCACATCTGGCCCACCCGCTCCCCCCGTAACTCAGAAATGTTGCTAACGTGTCTGGAAGGAAAACACAAAGCTCGCAGGTGTTTCTCATGTAGGGTATGCAGGCCTCGACAGCTAAAAAGTTTGGACCACCCTGTGCTGAGGGATGGGAAGCCATTGGTGCTGAATGGGGTTCTCGCTACGACTTAATCTAGTTTTACAGCAAATGCTGCCGAGACCTGGAACTGGGACAGATCTCCAGACATTCTGTGGCTCATTCTCTCCGAAACCGCTGTGACAGGAACTTGTGCTGATCTCTGCACAGAGTCAGATCTGCCCCTCACTGACCCCTGAATGGGGTTCTGTTGTCGGTTGTCCGTGGCTGAGCCCAGTTATGCCTCACGAGTACCTTTTATTGACGGTGGTTTGTAGGCGGTGGTGGCGGCTCGTCGAGGTCTTGGAAGCCCATTGTCACTGGAGGGCGATCTCTGTAATCACAGCACCAGGCTCACACGGTCACTCTGACACTGGGGAATTTCACCCAGCTCATTAACGTTAACTCAGTACCCCATTCGATACAGCGCCTTATCACGCTGTCGATTCAGCTCAAAGCGTTTCACGGGATTGACTGTAAATGATGGTGATTGTGTGTTTGTAAGTGAATGTGTGTGTGTGGGGGAGGGGGGAGGGGTGATTGCGGAGTGCAGACAGTGAGAGGGTGAAGATGGGAAGATGGGATGGGGGGTGTGAGACAGTAATTTACTGACCTGACGTGGCGAGGTCTCCTCTTCTGCAATGAAAAGAGACAAGGATGCGTTCACTCAGGATCCTTAATTAACAGAGTAATTTCAAGCGTGTGGTAGTTAATGCTAGATTATCTCTCTACGACCTAATCCAGTTTTATAACAAATGTTGGCGAGACCTGGGACTGGGACAGATCTGTTATGCGGCCTCCAGCCCTCCTGTGGCTGATTCTCTCAGAAACCGCTGTGACAGGAACTTGTGCTGATCTCCGCACAGTCTCGCTGTCACACTCAACAGCAAAGGTCAGCACAGATCAGCAGAGCTCTCAAGTCAATCACACTGGAAGTTCCCTTTAACCTCTGCGTAAAGCTTTGCGTACAACAGAAATTATTCTCATTTCAACCGGTTTAATAATTACGACGCGTTTGTCAATTTAGACAGATCCATGTAGAATCAGAGTACAGCTACAGTACAGGAGAAACCCAATCACATGATGAACACTGGTGCTAACATCTCCACTGGAGCTTGCGACTCTATTCCCATTTCCCTGCTCTTTTCCCATTGTATTTGTGTTGCTGCTCACTCCCCCACTGGAGCTCTCTACTCTAATCCCATTGCCTTGCTCTTCCCCCAAATCCTTTTATATATAAAAGGTAAAATTTGCAGGTACGGCCACTGCTTATTGAACGATCCTAACATGTAATTGCAGCCCCATCTGGTCTGTTCTAAGGCCCCGTGTGAAGGGCGCCATGTATACGGTTGTCGTTCAAATCCCAGGTACCTGGAGAGGAGGTGTCCGAGACCCGGAAGAGTGTGGCGGGGGTGGGTCTTCTACGTCGGATCTGCAGTAAACAAACATTTCTGAATTGACCGACACTCTGGGACAACTTAACGCAGACAGGATCCTGACCCCCCACCCACCTCCCCGCATTTAACAAGCCACAAAATATAGCCACAAAATCCGAGTCAGAAGGTTGTGGGTTCAAGCACCATATCGAGACTTGGAGTCGAAGTTGGAATCCCAAACCAAATTGGTTACTTCAAGCCGTGACTGTTTGTGGGACACTGCCGTGCGCAATTGGCTGTCGTGTTTCGCCTACAAAACAGTCGTGGATTGAGTGACCGCACTTTTTTTATTTTATTTTTTTTAAAAAAAACATTGCCTCGTAACTAATCCCAGTCACCACAGCTGACTAACTAAGACTGTTAACTCACTGTCCATAAAATAATAATAATAATCCTTGCGTTTTGATATAGCGCCTTATCACGCCTTCAAAAGGTCTCAAAGCGCTTCACAGGATAGGCTGCAATGTGAATGACTGTATATTTTGTGGGCAAAACAAATGGGAGGAATTAATTCAAGCTCTTTCCGCAATTCTACTCAATGTTTAATGTTAACTCGACAGACAGATAGATAGTCTTTCCGGGTAGATTGGCGAGCTTGTCCTGAGACAGCGCCTTGGGACGTCCTCGCAAGGTGAAAGGCGCTATACGAACATAATTTTGCTGCTGTTGTTGTTGAGACGTTCTAATTGGGCACAAGCGAGAGGGCTAAGCAGAGTGTGCCAGCACCCACGTGTCTCGGGCGCAGAGCATGTGCCCACAACCCTGGCCAACAATCGCCAGGTTCCTCTGCTCTGCCTTCATCCCCAGCCTCCATCAACGCAACACAAGAAAGGAAAAATGAAGCTCGCTGTCAGCAATGATCAGTTCCCCGCCATTGCACTGACTGCAGAGGGTCACCTTTAGGTGACACTCCCTGAGACTGAGGTTGTCCTTTTCTTGTGGCTCACTGCCCAGTGACTAGCACACTTTCTCTCTCTCTCTCACACACACACACACAACACGCTTCCCTGCACTGCAGGCACCAAGCACTTTCAGCTGGAGGAGACTAGCTGTGTGTGGGGCTCAGGAACAAATCATCAACTTGCATGTTCCTGCTTTACACTTGTCCCCAAAGAGATGGTGCTTTCATTCAGAATTCATTCAAATTAGGGTTAGGGTTAGGGTGAGGGCACTCAATGGCAATGCAGTGTGTTAGTCAGTGAACACATCACAACCAATGCAGGTGGCGGAGGAGAGCCAGAAAACTGGACACAGAAATCTCCGCTGCTATAAATAGCAACGACGGGTTTAATTCTCAATCTTACTTACCATTTCAACCGCTCTGGGATCCAGATTGCTGGGAATCATCGGCATGGAGAACTGGATTTTCCTCCTATCCTTGGGCTCCATGTTTCCTTCCAAGAGGGGGTGCAAAGCAAGTGTGCGGAGTGGAGGGGGTGGATGGGTGGGTGAGGAGATGTCTCTAGCTGATGCCTTCTGGCTTCCCAATGCAGCAAGTGTGTTGTGTGTGTGTGTGAGTGAGTGAGCAGATAGATGGTGCAGGAAAGAGCAGAGGCTTTCCGACGTGAATGGCGCCCGCTATACAAGTGTAATTTGTTGTTGTTGTTGTTGTTGTTGGATGGTTTAGCAGATGCTTTGTTCAGCTGGAGAACTGGTGTGTGATGAGGCTCCCAGAGAGCAGGACTGAACTCACCCACATGTCCCAGCTAAGCAGGCAGGGCTTTGGAGATGGTAATTGTGAGTGCAGGCTGCAGGAGCTGTGTGTGTGAGAGAGAGAGAGAGAGAGAGTGAGTGAGAGACAGAGAGAGAGCTAGAGAGGACAGGGCAAGCTGAACAGCAGCAGCGCCTCATGCATTATGCAGCTCTCTGCTCAGGGAACCCGGTCGCTCTTTAATGAGCCACTTGAAGGACAGAATTGTACAGTCTCCGAAACCCAGTGTACGACCCCGTTGCTTAGACCCAGGGAACATCAGATTAGTTGATGCAGTAAACAACAGCAGCCTGTTAATTAAAAATAATAGGGGGAGGGGGGGAAAGAGAGACCGAGAGGGATGTGAGGCTTTGTGTAGTGGCTGACCTTCAAGACCCCCCCCTTATTCCTGTGCACCATCACAGGAGCCGATGAGAGGGGAAGAGAGACATGTGGTGAAGACTGAGCAATTAGAGATGTGAGAGATGTCTGTACACTCTCACCTTTTCAGCCATTGCTACACTCAGAAGTCCTCCCTTCCTCAAGAAACCAGGCTCTGATAATGGGAGCTGGTTCCCAATCAGGGACCGCTCTAAGCTAATGGGCAAAACTAGAGTCAACACATTCCTGGGAGAAGCGAGTTTTTTTTGTTTGAACGCTCGAACGGGCAAAATTATAGTCGGGCGAGGCTGCAGCGAGTGCTCCAGCGAATGCCTTGGGACGTCCTTCCGATGCGAAAGGCGCAAAATAAATGTAACGTGTTGTTGAGTGCGTGGCGTGTGCCAGCTCCGGCCACAGTCTGTAGGTGTTTTAAGCTAAATTTGTTTTTCTTAAGTTAAAGCTAGAACTACCGAACGTTAAACCGAGGTCCCATCTGCCTGCTCAGGTGGACGTTAAAGATCCCGGGGCGCTATTCGAAAAGATAAGGGAGTTTCTCTCTCCTGGTGTCCTCTCTCGGCAAATAAATACCCCAAATAAAATAAAATTTGTTGCCTCACTCCATGAGTGTTTGTGGGACAAGGGATATGGGGCTAGGGCGGCTAACGGGACTTGAGGTACAGATCAGCCACGATCTTATAAATGGCAGAGCAGGCTCGAGGGACTGAATAGCCGACTCCTGTTTCTATGTTTCAATTGGCTGCCACATTTCGCCCACTTTACAGTACATGTCAACAACGTGATACGGCACTATTTCAAAAGCAAGAATTATTACATCATATATATATATATATACACACATTCTATCTTCAGTGTCTGTTCCGCCAACTGATGTCTCTTTGAAATAAGGTGCTGAGAGCGTCTCTCATGAACACTCCCCCAAACCCCCTGTTCAACTGCGGACATTAAAGGAGACAGAGCATAAGGAATAACTGAGGGGGAGTCGGTGACTCTGGAACAGACGGTAGCGGGTGCTTGAAAAGCCACTGAAAGCAGGAAAGGAGAAAAAGCCATTCAGCTCCCTGATTCCTGATTCCTCGCAAACACATCCACCTACACACAGCGCACAGCGCACTGTCTCCCTTGGGGAGAAGCTCTGAGCTCTGTCCTTCTGTAAAGAAATTCTGATTCCCAGTAAACACTCCAAAATATTCATCCATCATTGGATTTCCATTGCAAAATCCTGGCTCCTCCTCTCTCCCACCCACATACATACAGTTTCAGTTTCATTGTGTCCCATGGTATATTTGTCAGCATAGCTCAGGTGAATCACTCTCACCTGTGGGTTAGAAGGCTGTGGGTTGAAGTCCCACATCTCCAAGCCTCGACTCTTGGCAAAATGTGACTAACATTCTCTTTGAGTAAAGCATTCAGCCCATTCGAGCTTGTTCTGCCAATCATGGCTGATCTGTACCTCAACTCCAATTCACTATTGTCCTGTTGTCCTCTGATCATCTTCCATTGGAAATACCTTCTCACCATTTATCCTCTCTTAACACAAGTCTCTCATGTGGCAACTTATCAAACGCCTTCTTGAGATCCAAATGTGTAAAATCTACCACGTCTCCTCTACAGTCTTCAAATTCCTGGTTACCGCCTCAAAGAATTCCATCAGATCTTTCAGACACAATCTTCTATTTACAAAACTGTTCTGGGTTTCGCTTCTCAGTTTATTTTGGGGGGTCACCGCTATCTCTATCGTTTATAAATGTTTAACAACAATATGATAATAATAATAATAATCCTTGCATTTGATATAGCGCCTTGTCACGTCTTCGAAACGTCTCAAAGTGCTTCACAGGAAATACTGTAAAATGAATTGACTATGTTTTTTTTTACTTGATCCCTTATTACAACCTCTTCGAACTCTTTGGGTTTACCCACAATTGATTTAAGATTCACCGGCCTGCACGAGCTCACTGGCTCGTCTTGTTCCCTTTGTTATTCTCTTTTCTTCTGGGACCGTCACATCTCTACAGATGTCTGGAAAATGACGGTCCGAGCCTCCGATGTTTAATGGCTGTGCCCTGGACGCTGAACCCGTTTGAGAAGTCGCTTGAGGCAGGTGAAGGTGTGAATGTGGCAGGTTCAGGTGTGAAGTTATGCCCTGCAATATTATTATTGTCCGGCAGAGGACCTCATTCCACCACACATGCAGTCTCCAGTTACTTGCTGTTTGTTCCATTTTTTACCTCTTGTCTCCAGAAAAAAAAACATTTGAGTTGCGAGTATGTGCTTGATGTCGTGAAACTTACAGACTCTCAGGCAGGCGCGGGCCATGGTTCACATATTGCCTTGCTCTCCGCTAGTGGCACTCCCGTTCGCGCCACCATCTTCGTTACATCGCATTACGTAACCTTAATAAATCCTTGCATTTGACACAGCACCCGTAACACGTTGTCGAGACGTATCAAAGCTTTTCACATTTTAAAGCGAATTGACCGTCGGCAAAACGTGGCAACCAATTGCGCACAGCAGTGCCCCACAAACAGTCGTGGATCGAGTGACCAAATTATTATTATCATTTTTTTTAATGAGATACATCTCATCTAATAGCTTCTCCTTTTGCCCCACACGGTCACCTGTGTGTAACCTTGATCCTCTCGTTTTCTTTATCCACATAATCCCTTGGTTGTGTCATTCACAAATTTGGGATTAATTTCCATGTGAATGCCGATGACATTAAAACATTTTCTTTCTGCATTAATCCTCAATTCCAGGATTACTCTTGTCTTGATCGAGTGTCTGTTTACATCAAGTCGTGGAGTCCTGTAGCTCAGTGGTTAGAGCACTCGCTTTGCAAGTGAGAGACCTGAGTTCAATTCCAGGCAGAGGGCGAAACCTTGGGCAAGTTTCCTTACTCCACACAGAGCCTAATAATAATCCCTCCAAAACCAAAACCAATAATAAATTGGTCATTTTCAATCCACGACTGTTTGTGGGACATTGCTGTGCGCAATTGGCTGCCGCGTTCGCCCACAAATATACAGTCAATTCACTTTACAGTATATTCTGTGAAGCGTTTTGAGACGTCTAGAAGACGTGAAAAGCGCTCTATCAAATGCAAGGATTATTATTATTATAAGTCATGGATGAGCCTCAACCCTCTTCAGCTGAATGTAAACCACAACAACAACAACTTGCATTTATATAGCGCCTCACCTTCCAAGAATAACTAAGAGAAACAGCAAGAACTAACAATAAATGTCAGGAAATCCCAATAATTATCAACAAAATGCCAATAGATCAATTATAACGTGCACTTGTATAGCATCCTTCACACAGGATAGGAATAATACAAGTTTCCTTTTACCATATCTCACTCATTAACCTCCTCTGCGCAAAGGAATACAATTCTAAATTAAAGTAATATTACAGAATAGATCAGGGAGCTGTGAGATGTGCAAATAATAATTCTATTCTATAATACCTCTGCAACATCTCTGCAACAGCTAGCTGAGCGCAGTCTTATAGCTGCTGTTTTGCTCTTGAAAGAAAGAGAGTGGAAAATAATGCTTACCTTGAGTAAGTGACCAAGGGGACATATCTCAGGATGGTTAGCAGAAGAATCAGCAGAGCGTCTGTAAGGAATTTCTTCACTCAGAGGCTGTTAAGTGTGGAATTTATTACAAGAAGGGCTATTGAGGCTGGATCAATTGAATCGTTCAATAGGGAATGGATAAGAACCTGTAAAGTAACAACTATTAAGAGATATGGGGAAGAGCTGCAGTGGGATTCATTAAAAAAGGCAACTTAGAAACGTAGGTAGCAGGAACACAGTACAAACGAAACACATTTGCTTTGGTTTATAGACTCTGAAGTTTTCTTAATTATGGAAAACACAGCGATTGTGAGAGCTTCAGCTGCCAAAAGAGTGAATGATATTTCCTCGTTCCTTCAGTTGCCGGGCTTTATTTGGTCATTTTGTTGATCGTTATTGGGACCTCCTGACAATTATTGTTAGTTTTTGCTGCCTTTTGTTGGTTATGGCAAGCGAGAAGACCCGGGTTCGATTCCCGGGTAGGGCGATACCTTCGGCAAGTTTCTTTATTCCAGACGCCTCTTTTTAACCGAGCAGTAAAGGAACCCGGTTGTTAGTCGATTGGCAGATTGCTTTCTGGGGGCTAATAATCTCTCCAGAAAAAAACACATTTAGTCACTCAATCCATGACTGGACACTGCTGTGCGCAATTGGCTGCCACTTTCTGCCCACAAAATACACAGCCAATTCACTTTACAGTAAATTCTGTGAAGCGCTTTGAGACGTCTCAATGAATTGATTATTATTATTATTATTTGCCGGGTTGATTATCTTCAGTGTTTCATCCGACTTTAACATTGGACCAGGACTAGTTACAAAGTGGCAGCTCCTGGACCTATACAGTTGAACTCCGCCATCCATTCTCAGCTTCCGAGCAGTGTCTGCTCCCAGAAGAAAGAATAAACTTGAAACATCTGTTAATTTATAAACCAATTTAACCATGACTGGTTAATAAATAGCAAACAGCTGCCAATCTCCTCACCTCTCGGCACGGGAGTGTAGCAAGCTGAGAGTGGCTGTATCACTGGATTAATGCAGAGCCTCCCGTGCCTTCTAATTACATCACATCAGTTAATAATCCGCACCCCCAATTGGCCTGGATTCTCCCTTTAAACTGTGGAGAAATTGTAAGAGGCGCGTGTGAAACCGCAGCTTAAAGAATAAATCTCTTGCCGAATTTTAGATCAACTTTCAAACAGCTGAACCGTTGGTTGTTGGTTCTTCTGCTCTCAGGTGAGCTGAGGATTTGTTTTGCCGGCAAGCCAACAACAACACCCACTTGCGTTTATATATCGCCCTTCACACAGGGCAGAGTGGGGGTGGTGTGGGGGTTAGAGATTGTATTATTGGTGCTAACCCAATTGCTTTATTGTGTTTCTGTATCCCTCCACCCCAGGAGGTCACAGAGCCAGAATCAATTGGGATGGTTGAAAGGGTGATGAATACTTGGGAAGTAAGGATATTGAGTTAATGGGGGAATCCTATAAGGGAGAAAGGCAGGGGAATTGAGATTTAAAAATCTGCCCTAATCTAATAAACTGGTCCCAGCTCCTTGTGAGGTCTCCCAGCACGAAAGGCACTGCACAAATGTAATTTGTTGTTAATGTTGGAATAAGCTCCATAGTCTGAACGACTTCTCCCTTTGTCCAGTATCTCATTACAATAATACTTGCCCACAAAATACACAGTCACTCCACTTCACAGTATATCACGCGAAGCGCTTTAAGACATCTCGATGACGTAATAAGGCGCTGTATCAAATGCAAAGATTATTATTATTATAATAAATAATATCATTATTAACTTCACACAATGGCAAGATCTCCACTGCTTGTCCAATTTGGACCACTGCACCCATTAAGGGCTTTGGCTTGCAGGGATTAACAGAATCTGAGTGGCCAGATTCCCTGCCCTTCCAAGTGTTGTAGATGAGCCAGGCTGGGATGGGCTGTCAACAGCAATGCCCTGGACCTTGTTCAGAGGCCATCATTGAGCAGATGAACTGGCAACAAAGCAAGATGGTTGTTACAACGGTGAATGGTGGATTCTAACGGTAAGCGCTGAGCTGGGAGGTTGCCGGTGATTGGCAAATGATGGTGAAGGACGGTATGTGTGTGTGTGTGGGTTGATGATGAGCTGATACTTTCACACGTATTTAATATCGTTTTTTATTTTCACTCCTCGCGAAATATCACCATCTGGGATGGTGAAAATAGCGTTAACGGTCGGGGACGAAGCCATTTCAGCTGCTTCTCCTCATGAATTATTATTGTTTTCATGTTCTGAATGTTTCTCCGAAGTGAATAAAAATTTTAAAACAACATTTTCTCTCCATCTGTTGGATTTCACTTTTTCACAGGCGGGGGAGCCTAAATATAGGTCTGTAGAAAATGCCCACGGGACACGACGAGGCTAGGAGATGGCCTCAGCTTTCCTCAATACTCAACGTCCCCAGTGCAACTGCACGGAAAGAACAGCGGAAGATGCCGGTCAGACAGCCAGTGCGTACAATCACCAAAAGCTACCCACCGCCTGGTAATGTAGCAACAGACACAGAGCTGGTCACACACACACACACACACACACACACACACCCTCCATCTGCTCTCCTAGGGGTTAATGCCGCATTAAATACAAAGAGTAGAACGACGCACAGAGACACACACACACAGGAGAAGAAGTCGCTTGGTGGAAGGGCGGAGAGGATCGTGAAAGAAGACAGAACTTGCATTTCCATAGGCCTTTATCACGTCCAAACTTTCTAAATCGCTTTACCATACAATCGTGTTTCGCCCACAAAATCCATTTTACAGTGTATTCTGCGAAGCGCTTTGAGAGACGTCTCAACAACGTGATAAGGCGCCAAATCAAATGCAAGGATTATTATTAATATTATTGCAGTAATGACATACAAAGAGAGCATGTCTAAACAGGATTTTGTTACCCTAGACCACTCCAGATCCCCTCAACTCTGAGTGAAACACATTCTCCTAAGCTCTCCTTTAGCTGTTATTTGCACAGGCCTTTCCACCCTGTGCAGCCACGTATAAGACGTATGCACCTGCACTCCCAAGTCCTTGCAAGATGCAGTCATTCAATATATTCTCCCCTCGTATTTTTTTTCCTACCAAAACGAATCAGCTCCTGTTTCACTTCATTAAACTTCATCTGCCACTGATCTACCATTGTGTTAATCGATTTCAATCTCCCTGAGGTCTCTTGGCTGTCCTCCTCACAACAACAACAACTTGCATTTATATAGCGCCCTTGCATCTCAGAGTGTTGGCAGGACAATATCACTTATATCCAAATCAAGGTCATTAATATATATGGGAAAAACTATAGAGTCCCCAGCATAGGATAATTACCTTCTGCCAACCAGAAAAACATCCTTTTAGCTCTATTCTCTGCTCTTATTCTTCAACCATCTTTCTGCTCACATTTTTTCCTATTCCCACACCCTGAGCTTCTCCGTCAGGCTTCCGTGTGGCACCTTATGAAACGTCTTCTGGAAATCCAATGCACAACACACACACAGCATGACCTTCAGCTACACTTTCAGTAGCTACCTTAAATAACTATTAACATGCATTGATATCGTCCCCTTGACGTTTCAGGGTAGTGTCTCAGAGCACTGACAACACTTTACCTCCGAGCTTGCTCTCATCCGCAAACTTTGATACCATTTGAAATTGGTCAAACATAATCTGTCTTTTGCAAGTCCATGCTAACTCTCCCTGATTGACTCATGTCTATCCAGGTAATCATTTACCTGGTTCCTTAATGTTGCCTCCAAACATTTACCCACAATTGACTAAGGTACGGCTAACCAGCCTTTAATTTCCCAGCATATCCTTTGAACAGTGACATCACCTCTGATGGATGTTTGGAAAATTAGTGGCAGAGTCTCTACTATCTCCTCCCTGGTTCCCCTCAACAATCTAGGATGCATCCCATCAGGAGCCTGTGATTTCTCAATTTGTATTCCCTTCGTTTAGTTATACAGTGGGATTGTAACCCTCTCTTTCAGTGAAAACAGAGGCAAACATAGTCTCAGGTTTGTTGGCAGAAAGATTAGGGGAGGAACAAAAAGGAATTTATTCTCTCAGAGGCTTGCCACGGTCTTGCATCTCTCTACCTCGGTGCTGCTGTATGGGGAAGATAAATTGGCCCCAACCTTCTGAAGGTTAGGGAGGAGAAAACAAGCCAGGGTTCCTGCTCTTGGTCCATCAACGGCAATTTCCACTGCTTCCATTTCAATAGCTGCTGTGAATACAAATCACAATCTTATCCACAATGACACAGCAACATGGAAAATCTAGGAAGCTAAATTGAAAATCGAGGAAGCTCAACACATTTGCCTTTCTCTTACATCAGTGTAGCATTGAAACAGACAGACGCCATGGTGTGAGCCTGTGACTTGCCTGCAAACACTTTTTTTTTTGGAAAAGCACTTGGAGAAGTTCATCCTTATGTGAAAGGCACTGTACAAGGATATGCTGTTACTGTTTATTGTACATTTCAGATTTGATATGAAATTAGAATGATAAACGGGGCAAACAAATTAATCCTGCAACTCAAAACCCTAATGGGTATTGTGGTCCTGGCTGGACAAGTTTTCCAGACAGCGTTCTCAATGGCAAGCTAAGTAGTTCTAGCTAGTTGAACTCCAGCGGTACTCTCTACACACAATCTGGGGTCCCCAAGCCTTGGCTCTCGCTAACCTGTGCTGAATACGCTCCAGAATTAACAACAACAACAAGATTCCATTTATTGAGCGCCTTTCACGTCGGGAGGACGTCCCAAGGCGCTGTACAGTTGGATCAGGACCCGAGCAGGGGGGAAATGGTCAGGGTGAGGGGAGGGAAGGGAGGGAGCGAGGAGGGGGTAGAGAGTCGAGAGGGGAGCTGAAGGCACGGTCAAAGAGAAAGGTCTTGAGACCGGCCTTGAAGGAGGAAAGGGAGGAAGCGGCGAAGGCACTGGGGTATGGAGTTCCAGAGCCTGGGGGCTTTGAGGCTGAAGGCCCGGCCACCGATGGTAGGGCGGTTGGGGCGGGGGATGTGGAGCAGACCGGAGCC